AAGAAAGATATTGTATTTCCCAGAGTAGACTGATGTATTGTTTTGAAAGGTATTGTACTTCCCAGAGTGACATTTCTTTCTTTCTTTTTTTTTTTGAGGTACCAGGGATTGAACCTAGGACCTTGCACTTGCAAGGGAGTCACAGTGCCAGTGAGTTAAATCCCCGGCCCAAAATTTCTTAATGTAGTCACTTTTTATTTCATAACAAACATATTTATTTTTATGGAATCCTTCATATTTAAATCATATGAATTATTTTTTTTTTTTTTTGGTACCAGGGATCGAACTGGGGACCTTGCGCTTGTGAGGCAGGCAGCAGAACCACTGAGCTAAATCCCCGGCCCTAAACCCTATAATTTTTAACGATGTATTCACACATAAAAACTTTGGGATGACCTTTTTTTTGGTACCGGGGCTGGAACTTGGGACCTTGCGCTTGCATGGCAGGCGCCAGAACCACTGAGCTAAATCCCCAGCCCTGGGATGACCTTTTGAGTAGCTAACAGTCTTTAAAATCAAGAATCACTAGCAACTTTTCTGAAATAAATTCTAACAGGCAAAATAATGTGCTGTGGCATAGAATGAAGTTGACTTAAATTTTTTTCTTGTTTTAATTTCTAGAATTTCCAATATCAAAATAAAGGATTTGTGCCAGGGATTTAGCTCAGTGGTTCTGGTGCCTGCCTCACAAGCGCAAGGTCCCAAGTTCGATCCCCAGTACCAAAAAAATAAAAATAAAAAAATAAAGGATTTGTGAGAAATCTATTTTATTGACTAGGTTAATATACCTTTTATTGGATGGCTAGCATTTTTAATAGTTCTAAAACAGGAAAAAGAATGGTTGGATCTGGTCTTTATAAATAAATGCAGTGCTTAATGTTACTCATGTAGCTGAGGCCTTCACAGAAGTCAGATCTGGCCTTGACCAACCTTGTTTCCTTTGTCTCCAGACTGGGGTAGCTGAAAGCAGTCAGGTGGTTCTCTGGAGCTTCCCTGTTCCTCAGAGGGCTGTGCCCACCGCTGACTGAGAGGATGATTTCCCCCAGTATACGTGGAAAATGTTTACATAGCATCTCATTTTGGTTGTTCTGGAGTTAGATGAGATAGATGTGCTTGAAACTGATTTAACAAAAGTAGATGTGTTAAGTTTAGTATCAGTTTTTAATATTTTGAACATTTTTATTGGATCTGATACTTAGCACATGTTTACATTGTTTTCTTTATAATAATTTTGTGTATAACTTACTTCTGAATAATTTTATGACCTTCAAATTTCAGAAACTTATAATTAAAAGCAGAATTTTCATTTCACTGCCTGCCTTGCAAGCAGAAGGTCCCGAGCTTGATCCCGGGTACCAAAACAAACAAAAAAAGCAGATTTTTTTTTTTTTAGAGGATGATTGTGTCTTTAGAAAGATACTCCAGAAAGAGTTTTTAGAAATTAAAGAAGTAGGAGTATTTTCTCTTTTCACCACTAATTTAAAACTTCATAAGGGCCAGAGATGTAGCTCAGTGACACCACGCCTGCCTGGCAAGTGCAAGGTCCTGAGTTTGATTCCCAGTACTGAAAATAAATAAATAAAACTTCTTAAATGATAAACAATAAATGAATTCCCTTTATATATGGTAAAAATCATAATCCTGCTTCATTTATGATTTAGGGTTGACCAATTCTCTTCACCCTGAATTTCTGTTTTAGTCAGTGCTAGACGAGATGATGGTGGAACAAACAGACCTCGTGCGCTTGCGAATGGTTAGAATGTCCAACGTGCCAGACACGCTTTACATGGTCGGCAATGCTGTGCCACAGTGTTGCCACATGATCAGCCACCAGCAGATCAGCACTAACCAGTCAAGCCCTCCTTCAGTTGTAGCCAATGAAATTCCAGGTAAGCTAGGTCCTTTTATGAAGCATTTATATTTAAATGAACAATCTTACATTTTTTTGTGATTGCTGATATTTGGACTCGTGTGTGTACATGCACACTTAATTCCACATTTCAGGACTCTTTATGCATTGTTCTTAAAGATTAAATATTTATAAGCTATTATTTTTGTTTTGTATTTTATCTTAATAAATGTGCATAATTGAAATAATCATTAATAAGTTTTTCACTTGAGCCTAAGGTTTCTCAGCCCTGGCCCTATTTGTTAGAGCTGAATAATCCTACATGGTAGAGAGCTGTCCTGTGTATAGTGGATGGTTGTTATCAACACCCAGCCTGTATTCCCTAGATGCCAGTAGCACATGTGTGTGCACACACACATACACCCCTACCTTTGTAACACTGTTTTGAAGCTTGTATTTCTAGACATTGCCACATGTGCCCTATGGGGCAAAATCACCTCTGTTGAAAACCACTTGTTTAAAGGAATACAGATATTTTCATCACTGTAGCATATTTTCCACATACAGTAATAACCTTTGGTAGAGTAATATGAACTTACACCGTTGAATCTGCCGGCGGCCCCCCAAAATGTGATCACTCTTGGTTCCCAAGAGGCTCAGTTTTCCAGGCTGTTCTCTGTGAAGTTTACCAAAGTGTAGACTTGTGTCTTACAACTGTGGGGGAATTGGCCATAGATTGAGGTATAGCTATCATGTCCAGAAACACCTGAGCATCAGTCAGTTAATAATGGCTTTAACTTGTGATCTCTAATGTTAATTTCTAAGGTAAGAAAAATCTGGTGGTCAGCACTTTCTAGCTCTTGCCAATTGCCTTAGCAATTGCAAAATGCAAAATAAAGACCAACAGCTGGGCCTGCTGACACACGCCTGTAGTTCCAGTTACTCAGGTGGCTGAAGTGAGAGGCGCACTTAGGCCTGGGAGTTTGAGACTAAGACTAGGCAACATAGCAAAACCCTGTCTCCAAAAAGTGAATAAAGTAAAAATAAATAAAACTCAGCAAACTATAGCAGTGAAAATGGCACCATTCCTTTCTTCTTGTAAATATCTGTTTCAGTAAAGGATAAAAGACAGTGATGGCAGAACTTTTCATTGAATGCATACATTTTATTTTAGGTCTGGTGCCTTGTACTTAAGGTATACTTTGAATAACAGAATGAAGAGAAATATTTGCTTAGCTGACTTGTGCAGATTTTAAAGGTTTGGTAGTAGTTTTTTAGGCTTAAGTTAATGCAGTTGAAATCACCATAATTTTGTCTTAGAATGTAATCAGAAAAGCCCCAAAACATTCACAATGACATATGCTCATGGTAATAAGACTCATCACTAGTTTAGCTACTGAGGTGTGGTCCTGTTCTGGTGTCACCCTAGGTGTTTCCCACATGCTTGCCCACCTCTCTAATGAAAGGCTGTGTAGACTATTGGAGAAGATTGATGGACTCGGATCCTGGTTCTGCCACTTTATTTGTGTGACTTTGAACAATCTGTTTTCTCCCCTGAACATTAATTTCCTCATCTGTGAAATGGGGATAATGTCTCCTCTCAAGGATTGTTGTGAGGATTTAATGAAGTATCATGAGTAATATGCTTAGGAGTTTGCTTGGCACAAAATAAGCACTTCATAAACCCTGGCTCCACTTTCCCCTAAAAGTAATATTCTGTCAGCACTCCAGTCAGTTTATATCACAACTATTTATAGACTTCATCACCTCTCTCTAGCCGTGTGGCCACAGCCTTAGCTCACATTCTTAATTGATATTCTGCTCTTTCCCCTAGGGTTGATGTACTTTTTCTTTAAAGACCAGATCATAGATATTTTAGACTCTGTGGGCCATATAGTCTTTATCACAACCACAGTGGTGCTTCAGTTCACGAACACTTTTGTTTGCATAGAATTTGGTGTGCAAACAGAAGCGTTTGACAAAATTTTGTTTTTATTTGTAAACTGCATCAAGGGACAAACACAACCACAGCCATCTTTCCCATGCAAACACAAACATGGCTGTCTTTTTCAAAACTGAACAAATTAAGCTTGTGAACCAAGGTACCACTGTACTTAGCTGTCACACAGCCATAGACAATACCTAATGAATGAGTAGGGGTGTGTGCCAATAAAACTTTCCATAGAAGAATAGGTGGCTAACTTGGTTTAGCCGAAGGCCAGTTTGCCTCCCCTTGCCTTGCATAATGTCACAGTACACTCAGCACACCACTGCTCTCATCCTGCCGTTGACTACAGGATGCAATTAAATTCTGTAATAACCATGATCTGTCCTTGCTCGTCTTCCCAGGCTCTTCTCTTAACACTTGCTGGCTTACATAACTGAGCCCTACTGCTGGCAGGCCAGCTACTGGGGCTGGACTGTCTTGCGTGTATGTTGTATACGCACCTAGTCCTTCTTGGACTCCACAATTTCTTCATCTGCCAAGTTCTCCCTTATTCTTTGAGACTCTACAAGGAGTTCCCTTTATGTAAGAAACCTTTCCTTTCTGCCCCAAGTCTGGGCTGGGTGCCTCTTCCTCTCAGGCTTTGAACACCCTTTGTTTATTTCTCTCCAGGAGCATTTCTGACCCCATAATGTGCTCATTTACTGAGTTAAAGTCAACACAGCACGACATTTTAGGGGGTAGAGATTGCATCTTTCAGGCTGGGGATGTAGCTCAGTGGCAGTGCGCCTGGCTCGCAAGTGCAAGGCCCTGAGTTCGATCCCTGTTACCAAAAGAAAAAGAGATTGCATCTTTCATTCTGTGAAATACCCAATACCTAAGTCCAATCCCTGAGTACATAGTCAGGACTCAATTGTTTAAATAAAAGATTGTTTATTTATTTGTTTATATTTATTTATTTTGTTTATGTTTATTTTTCTGAGGATGGAAACAGGCCCTTGCACGTACCACACAGTAACTCTACAACTGAGCTACATCCCCAGTCCTGAGAATGAATATATTTAAAAGACTTAGGAAATATCTTGAGATTGGGAAGAGAATACAAGCAAGTAAATTATATTTGAGCTGTGGACTAAAAATAATACAACCTAGGATTTGTTTGGTATTGAAATTTTAAAGCCTTGAAAACTAGAGACATACAAATTAATACGTTGGCAGGAAATTAAATTACTATCTTAAAAAATTTTTGAGAAGATACTGATATAAAACACATGCTGGTTTTTTGTTGCTGTTGTTATGCTCACTGGGTATTCTTTTATGTAGCTCAGGAATTTTTCCTACATACTATCTTTCTCCTTCCAGTTCCTCGTCTCCTCATCATGAAGGACATGGTCAGACGCCTACAGGAGCTACGACACACTGAGCAGGTGCAGAGAGCCTATGCACTGAACTGTGGGGAAGGTGCCACTGTCAGCTATGAGATCCAGATTCGAGTGCTGAGGGAGTTTGGGCTTGCAGATGCCGCTGCAGAGCTTTTGCAGGTAGAACATGGCATTAAACTATTTAAAGAGGGATGCCTGATAATTGGCCAGCCAGAGTGGTACACATGCCCAGAAGCCCTGGCTGCCTGCTCTTTCTCTGTACATGCTCTTTTGCTACCTCTGGTAGCCTGCAGGTTCCTCCTGGGAAGAGGCAGCATGGTGGGATGGACTGAGCACACAGTGATTCTTCTGCTTACTAGTTGGTTAACTTGGATAAAGATGCTTCACCACTCAGCATCAGATTCCTTGCCTGTAAAAAGAATTGTGAAAGACAGGAGGTGCTGTACGTAAAGCACCTGTGTTTCTGGTGCATAACAAACATCCAAATGGTGACTTCTGCAAAGTTCCATCCCAATAGAAATGGCATAGGAAGTAGAAAATTCTGAACCACACGAATACTGGTTTGGTCACTGGAATTTGTGGTTACTATATTTACTATGATATTTGCAGGTTTCCAGTATGCACCCCTCGTTTCCTCTCTGTTCCCTCAAAACAAATTTTTTGCATAAAGGTTCAAACCCAACCATAAGAATCATGGCATGAGTGCCTAAAATCCTAGCAGAGAAAAAACTCATCTCTAGTAATTATCAGGTACAAGGCCAGTCCACTGGTTTTGCAGCTAGGATAGGATTGTAAAGTAGTGGGATCACAGCCACTAAATCAGAGCCTTGAGTAAAATTTAACTTCATCTGGTCAAGTGGTACAAACAACTTCTTGCCTCTGACTTCAGACTTCATCAGCCTTGATCCTGGGTAAATAGGGCACTGGCATCTTAGACAAGGCACCAGGCTATTTTAAGGTTCTTGGTTTTTGTTTGGTTGGGGATTTTTCCCCCGCTGTGGTTTCTATCCCTAAAGTACTTACCTAGTCTTGCAAGAGATGACCTGCTTGCCGGAATAGTCGGGAGGGCAGCTCTCCTAGATAGCTCTATCTTAAGCTTCCTAGCCTGCTCTCTGTCCTTCGTACTATTATTAAGGTGATTTTTTCCCTGGGCTTCTGGCTTAGAAAATTCTATTAACGTATACTCTTGTTAAAGGTGGTTTTCTTAGATACTTGACTTAACTCTCTCACCCTGTAAATTGCCATCTATGAAATCTGCTAATAAATGTCCTTTGTTTTTTAATCTTGTTTTAGAACCCTCACAAATTCTTTCCTGATGAACGTTTTGGGGATGAAAGTCCACTCCTGACAATGAGACAGCCTGGAAGATGTTGCACTAACAGTACCCCTACTGCAGAAACCACGTTTACAGACCTGGACTCTTTTGTGGCCTTCCATCCATCCTTGCCCCCACCAGCCCCTCCATACCACCCTCCAGCCACCCCAATCCATAACCAACTCAAAGCAGGCTGGAAACAAAGACCTCCTAGTCAGCACCCTTCACGTTCATTTTCTTACCCCTGTAATCATTCGCTGTTTCACTCCAGAACAGCACCCAAAGCTGGCCCTCCCCCAGTCTATTTGCCAAGTATTAAAGCAGCGCCACCTGATTGTACCACCACCGCAGGACTGGGGAGACAGACAGTTGCCACCGCTGCTGCAGCCGCTGCTGCCTCAGTAGCAGTAGCCTCTGAGAAACAAATGGTAAGTTAACATCCAAGTCACTTGCCCCAAATGGAAGGGTATGGGTTACTAGAAACTATTCCCTTGGCTCCCTGAGCCCCACTGGGACTGACCAGGCTCGGAAGTGTTACTACAGGCTCAGCGTATGCAACAGACGGGTGTGAAGAGAGAGAGAAGAAAGCTAGTATCAGCCTCTGGGAAAGGGCAGGAGCCAAGAGACTGGAGGTACGAGATGGGTACAAAGAACGTCACCCTTATCTTAGTTGCCAGTGTAAGGAGTAGTGTCGTGACTGAGCAGGACAAATGGACACGTCGGTGTCCTAATGTGATCAAGCACATGCCTAGAATCTGTCCCTGACTGCTGTTTTACCAAATGCTTTGGTGGGACAATTAAGAGAAATTAGTTAGAGCGAGGCATACCAGCAGGACCGATGTGGCAAAGACTCCCCACTCAGAAAACAAGCAGAAAGCGAGTTCTCATGCATGTCTCTGTCTCTGGCCAGCTCACTTTCAGCTCCTTGTTTGACTTGGAGCCTCAGGAGCCAGGGCAAGTAGGTGGTAATTGAGAGGATTCTGCACCTGCTTTTGTACTGCAGCTGAAGTTGAACTGCTTTATGTAATACATTTGAGAAAAACAGTGATTTTTAAGTCTTCCTACTGTATCATGTGCTATCAGTAGCATTGAATAGAAAAAAAATATGAAAAATACATGTGTTCAGAGAAGCTTCAATAAAAAGGGCTTATTGGAAGCGATGGGTTAGTGTACATGTGGAGTCAAACTAGAGCCTTTCTCACATTCTTATCCCTCTTGAGCTGCTCTCTCTGCTCTTCCTGACCCCTAAACCCCCTTTAAGGTAACTTGTTAGTACGTTCATTGTAGTCTTGATTATAATAAAAAATTGAAAACTGGGTGTAGTGACACACACCTGTAATGCAAGCAGTCCAGAGGCTGAGGCAGGAGGATCCAGAGTTCAGGCCCAGCCTGGGCTACATAGCAAGTTCAAGGCCAACCATGGACTATATGGTAAGATGCTGTCTCAAAAAAAGGAAATAACCTAATAGTAGAAGAATAGTTAATAGTGGAACATGATTCAGTAATTTCAAATAGTGATCACAAAGAAAATTTAGTGACAGGATTATATGTACACTGATTGTGAAAATTGAAGATGAAGTAAATATTTCATAATGTTAACTGATTGTCTCTGTAGGGCAAGTTAGGAGTTTTTTCTGCTTTATAATTTTCTGTATTTTAAAAATTCTTAAATTAAGCAAGTATTACGTATTACGTTTACCATCAGGAAACAAACTCAGTGACCAGGAGGAATTGTTGGGCCTTTTTTCCCTTTCCCTTTCCTTTGTTTTGTTTTTGTTTTTAGATTTTTTTGAGGCAGGGTCTCCGTTTGTAGTTCAGGCTGGCCCTGAACTCACAGTGTTCCCCAGGCTGGCCTCTGAACTCACAGTGATCCTCCTGCCTCAGCCTCCCGAGTGCTGGGATTACAGGCATGCGCCATCACACCCTGGGCTTTCTTTTTAACCCTCCCCCTTTGTTTGTGTCTCAGTGTACACAGCCTGTGCTGAATGATCTGATGCCAGATATCGCAATGGGGTATCCACACTGTCACTCAAGGACAGGAGGCTTCCAGAACTTGCTGCAGACACAGAAATAAGCCAGCCAGTTTCTGAAGCAGGAACAGGGCCTCCCCAGCATCTCTCATGTATTCCACAGAGACATACACATACTTCTCAGAAAAAACATACACTAGAGCAAAAAACAGATGCTAGAGAAAGTCAGCAGGAATACCCAGATTTCTATGACTTCTCAAATGCTGCTTGCAGACCTTCTACTCCTGCTCCTGGCAGACGCACCCCTTCCCCTTCACACAGTGGATATTTTGGTCCCGATTTGTATAGCCACAATAAGGCATCACCAAGTGGCTTAAAGTCAGCCTGCCAACCTAGTCAGACCTCTCCTAAAAAACAGGAAGAAGTGAGGAGAGAATATCCACTTTCCTCTGATGGGCATCCACACAGACAGAAGAGTGAGCTGATTCGTCTGGATGTCGTTGAGCAACCTCCCCCACGGTCAGACTTTCCTTTAGCAGCCCCAGAAAATGCTGGTAATGATCCAGCCCATGTCAGGGGATGAACCGGAGTAGAAACTGACTTGACTTTTGGGCTGACTCCTACCAGACCATCTTCACATTCTGCATGTAGCTCCGAAGCTCCAGAAGAGCGATCCAGTAGAAGACTGGCTGACAGTGAGTCCCTGGGTCTTGGAGCTCAAAGAAGCACAGATCTGGAAAGGGAAGATTCCATAAGCAGAGGAAGGAGGTCTCCGAGCAAGCCAGACTTCCTCTACAAAAAGTCTGCCCTCTGAGAGCAACCTCCAAGTTGTCTGTGCCTGAGATGTGAAACATCCCATTTATGGGCTGGGGATTTAGCTCAGTGGTTCTACCGCCTACCTCGCAAGTGCAAGGACCCAAGTTCAATCCCCAATACCACAAAAAAAAAAAAAAAAAAAGGTGAGATTCCATTTATGATGTAACCCAACAACTTACGGACCAGTTTATTGATGCCAGCTCATTTTCACATTATTTTATTCTGGTTTTCATGTGTATATATGTTTATTACACATGGCATGCTAAGAGGGTTATTTTGAATGCTGCATATGTCTGTTTTATATTTGAACCATTGTGTAGGAAACCATTTTAAAGAGCAAGCAAGCTGGCACTTTTTTTCCCCCTCTTTATAAATGATGGAAATTTTTTGCACTTGTACATTTATTTTATCTGTATTGATTTTATAGCAGTATGTTCAACTTTATTGCCACATTTAAAAGACTGTATTTTCATACTTTTTTGCATTTTACCTTTCATCTACCAATTTCCATGTGCATTGAATTGCACACCAAGATGTATTTTCTTATGAAATAGTTCTGTGTTTATTTTTTAATTATAGAAATTCCAAAGAACAGCACATCAAAATGCTCCTCTCTTTTCAGTAATTGCTTTAGTTCAGAAATCTTCCTGCTCAGTCTCCATACATCTAATGTCGTTCTTTAGTAAGTCTTAGGAGCTGGTCTTCATTCCCCCAGTGAGAGTCCGTCCCAGGTCCTGAAGTTTTCACGTCAGTAAGAACAGGAAGCAGAAAAGCCTTTGGTGCCCAAGCTAAGGCTGTCACTTTGTTCACAGTGTGGACGCTGTCAGGACCCCTGCAGCATTCTGGTCATACAGATTAGAATATTGTGAATTTGCTCACTTGATGAGGTTCTGAGGAAATTGTATCCCTTGGAATGAGAAAGCAGCAGAAATCTGACAGGATTTCTGGCGCTCAGTGTGACTCTCGGCTGCCTTGGGTGAAATGACTGCCTGCTGCCTTCAGTTGTCTTGCTTTCTATGGGGAAAAAAACAAAAACAAAAACAACACAAGGGCTTCGGTCTTATGGATGTTATTTGGTATTTGTAAGCATATGTTTCCTTTTAAATGTTTTTCAAAGGATGTATCAATTTTGGTGTCCTATAAAAAGTATAATACATAATGCTTTTTCACCAAAAAACAAAATAGAAAAAGAAAGAAATTTGTTTTCAGCTGAACACTACATGTCCTACTTGAGCTTCACTAGGGATGCTGGTTTGGCATTTACTGAACCACACTGAGCACATGGGGTCTTTCTGATCCTCTCCCTTGGAAGGGCAAGGTATGAGCTAAGGACTGTTTTTTTCTTACTCTCCTATGTAAATATGTTAGTATTTGAGTTTTTAAATCACTTAAACATTATTTGAGCATTCACTTTGTATTTTTACAAACATACAGCCGTAGCACTTAGAAGAAAAGAGACTTCCTAAACATTCCCTCATAGGAAGGATATTTGGAAACCTCTTTTCAAGATATATATATATTTCACAGATATGTCACAGATATAGATAGATATATATATATATATATATATATATATATATCACTATGAATCACTCACACTCTAAAACTATGCAGGGCTAGGGAGCCTTTACAAGCTACCATATAAATGAATTACATGCACTTTGAAGTAAATAGATTTCTATTGGGTGTCAACAACTCTGATTTCTCCCAAAACTGTAGATTCTCTTATGGTCTTTTCCTACTTTACCCTGTGGATATACACTCAGGAATAATCTGACGTTTTTAAAAATCCTAATAGTAGATAATCTCAAAGATGGGAAGCAAGTCGGTCTATGTGTACACACCGCAGACTGCCGCCACTTGTTCTGCTGCCTGACTAGTTAGCTGCTACTAGTGCATTCACTGACCTTGGTGATGTTGCATACTAAGCTCCATTCATTTGCTGTGAGATCAGCTCATACCGCCTTTATGGCTCCTTTTTTAAAGACGGAAAAACACAGGACTCTGTCCTCATTTTTTAATTTTGGCTCTTCTAGTAGATGATGGTATGTTTTAAAGTCTAATCTCTTCTTCAGAAACAAAAGTTAATTCTATGCTATTCCTTACTATGGGGTTATATACATGTGTGGACATGAATTATATTTTTTTGTATTAAATTCTTTTATTGGTACATTGTAGGTGTACAACACAATTACGTTTCTCATTGGGAATTGTACCTTTACATAATGCATCTTGGTTCTTATTTTTGGACATGAATTATTTTATATTTCTCTTCTGAATCAGACTGTTCTGTGTTGATGCTGACGATGAGAATGAGTGGACCTAATTTGGGTGTTAAAAAAAGCTTTCTCATCTCTAACCTGTTTCTTTTTTGCTGTTTTCCCCCACGTTAGACCAATGTTACTGATCCCACACATATTTTTAAATTCATTAAATATTTTTATATCCCCAAAATGTAATTGTAAAAATTAGTGATCATTGTTCATACTATTATTTAATTTATGAAATTTGCTTTTCATAGCTTAGTTTACCAGGCTAAATTATGTGTATAGAGGGAACTCTTGCTTTAATCTGTGGGATTGTGGATTAATGTGACTTGCAGAAGATAGACAGATGTGATCTTTATGTATGTTAGGTTAGGTGTTGGTGGACTTTTAATATATCTTGTGAAGTTTGGTTAATAGGGTAGGTTGAATAGCTATGTGCCTCTAGCTTTTGAACCCATCTATTAAATCTTTCAGTGCTGTACTAAGATAAATGTGAAGTCTGAGTAAGGTTGCTCTCAGAAAAAAAATATGTATAATATGAAACTTAGGACACAGGAACTGGCACTTCACTTGGTGTAGAAATGTAATGAGAACCAAATCACAAAAATACCAGATCTCCTTTTGAGGCCATGGACAATCGGGCCATTTGGACAATCACCACTTCCACTGCCTCCTGTATGTTGAGGTTAGAGAACCACCAGTAAGATGCTAGTGCAGAGGAGGAGAGTTAGATTTCTTTAAGAGGCTGTTGGTCCTTTTCTTATGTAATTGTTTGTTTTGTGATTTTGAAAAATAATTGAAGTTCAAAGTCACCTGCGACTCCTAAGGGAAACAGCAACAGCATGAAAGGCCGAAGTCATTCGCACACCCATTCCCACATGTCCCCCCTTTAGCTTTATTTCTAGGCAAGTGTTCCTGGACCTGAGCTAGCCTGTCATTTTAATAACCTGCTAGCTTCTAAGGGTTTTTGCAGAGTTCTTCATATTTATCTTTTTCTAAAACTATGAAATTAATTCTTCTTTTTACTTCCTCAAAAACTGGGGTTTTTTGGTGCTGCCGCCTCCTAGCAAGTGCAACGTCCTGGGTTCAATCCCCAATACCAAAAAACAAACAAACCAAAAAAAAAACTGGTTTTTCATTTTTGGGTTTTTGGGTTTTTGGTTTTTTTACACTTGTCGTCCTTTATTGAGTTTCCGTTTGATAGGTGGTTCAGGCTCTAGCAGCAGGCACAATCTTGTACATTTGAACAAAGTTGATCCTGCTGAAGGGGAAGGGGAAAGGAGGGTGCAGCTCCCCAGCCTGGGGCTCCCAGCTGGCCTCAGGCCGAATTCTCTGGAGTGAAAGCATCAGTACTCCCCAGTAACTAACCAGCAAGACAGAGCTTTTCTTTTCTCTTCTTTTTCCCTAAAGACAGGCTGGTTACTGGTGCCCTGAGGCTGAGATAAGTCAGTCAGTCCGCTGTGTGGCTCCTGGAATGCCAGGCTCCGGTCCTGTTCCGAGGCTCATAATACTACTCTCAGCCCTTCAGGAATCCTTGCATCTAATATTCTCCTCTTGATGGGCAGCTTTGCCAGGGCAGCATTGATATCATATTCAGGAATCCTTGACAATTGTTCTTTTGTTGATTTGTAATCCCTAAATACTGGGTCCACTTTTACCCATATTTGCTACTTTGCAGAGATTTGGAAAATTGGTGCGATTAATCATGCCCTTCTAGCTGTAAGGCCTTAAGGTACAAGAACATGCTTGGGTCATGTTTCTCTACCAAGTCAGCTTTGATCTCTAAGAATTTCTTTATTTCCTGACCAGCACCAGGTAGGAAGCTCACACGAGAGAGACTTTCATAGTCATATATAAGGTTGCCATTAACTTAACCTGAGAGATGAAGGCATGGCTGGTGGGTTGTACAGTGGGTTGATCCCCCCTAGTTTAAGAAGATTTGCAAGTAATATTCACATCCAGTCCTCTTCCTGCCAGCCGCTGTGAGGCTTTCTCTCAGGTCCAGACATGTGTCAAGGTCTGCTGCAAGTGTGGTTATGCCCAGCCTGACAGCAGCAAACAGCATTAAACCATTTTCTTATTTGCTCAAAGAGGTTCTGCTATGGCTTTTGAAGTGGTAGACAGGAGCAAGGGCGCAATTAACAGTGTTCTGTGGGTCATTTCTGGCTTTGATCCCAGGAACAGCCCTCAAGGGCGTGGATTCCTTGCTCATTTGGAAGTCCTCTATGCGGTGATATAAAGTCTTTGATTCCTGTTAATACATCATACAGTTGTGGAAAGACTCTGAGAAGGGTCTTGAGGACTGCTGGTGTTCTTGGATGCTCTTGGCAGGATTGGCCATCACTGTAGCCACTTCTAAGACCGCGTGGTCAGGAGAAGGAAGGGTAACCGATTAACTGTCTGTACCACCTAGTTCTAATGTAAGAGACATGGTGTCACAGATAGATATTTTCATAGTGTTGAATTTGCTTTTTAGGGAAAAACATGTCTCATGAAATACTTGTAAGATAGCTGTTTTACAATTATAAGGCATTCTTTTTATCTTTGGACTGAATTCAAAGGGAAATGCTTCTTTGACTTCAAGTATTCAGTTGACCTTCAGCTCTCATAGTCACTATTAAAGCTGCAGTGATGGGTGCTATTCCCGGGTCTGCAATGGTTCACTTTGTCTACTACGTGGTTTACTTTCAAACCTCATTACAGGTAATCTTACTGAAAGAGTTACTGTGCACACCGCTGGAAGGTATTTTACTGTTTTCCATTAACACTTGTATGAATGTTTTATGAAATGTTATCTTTTTGTCTTATCAGTTTCAATAGCTGTCATATAGTTATTATCTGGCCAAGCGTTTTGATTTTTTTTCTGTAGAAAATCCTCATACTATGTAACAATCTTTCATATTCTGAATATTATAATGTGCGGCTGTTTTCATAGAAAGTTACTTGGAATTGTGTGTCTTGAAAATAGCCTCTGGTGTTTGTGTGTGTGTGTGGGTTCTGTCTGAGATCAGATAAACTCTGGAAGCTTCCCTTGGCTACCTGCCCGTGACCATGTACCTAGGTTGCCTGGGCAGGCTGTGTGGAATCCTCCTCTTAGGTGGGATGGCGAAAAGCTGAAGGTTCCTGAACTCCACTTGCTGTGTATGTGGCACATCTGTACTTGAGAGATGTCAGACCTTCTACACCACTGCGTTTCTTGTGGTTGTGCTGTTACTGGTATAAAGTTAAGTGCCTTCAATGCTAAAGGCTCAGAAATTTTTCTTAAACTGATTTCATGTCCTATGCAAGTGTTTTCTACAACCTGCATAACCAGTACTTTGTAAAACTTGTTTACGCTTCAATTGTACATAGTGTTTTTTAAAGAAATATATAGTATTTTTATTTAGGTACCTCCAAACTTGAATTCGTCTGTGTGAAGCATTGTAAAACGATACATTTCTCTTTCGAGTACCATTACAGTTGTACAGAGGTTTTCACTGGTTCTATTTTTCTACTGTTACTGATAAGCATGTAACACTGACTTTATCCTACATATAGTTGGCATTTCAAATAAATGGCTTGTATAGAACCTGCTGAGTTGGATACAGTCTGTTTTAGTAATGTAGTGTACAGTCTTCATTTATGGACATGCTTGTACCCCTAGAATCGGGAGGCTTTCCAGAATGATCCTCTGTTTCTAAGATTTCAGTTATTCAGAGACATTATTATTTATGATTTTCTTAGAAATAACACATTCTGAATCAGCAAGTTCTTCATATTATTTCACTGGGACATTTTTGAGAGATTTTATTTTACAAATTTGAACAAAAAAGTTACTTGGGCTAGGGTCTCCAGAGGACTTCAGCATTCCTCCCATGAGTACCAGACTCCTGGAACCTTGGTGGTCAGTCAGTGAGATCCAGTGTGTCCTGTAGTGCAGGGCCCTCCAGACACCAGAAACCTGGCAGATATCCTCAGCAGCTTTTCTCCATCAAATTCAGTCTCATTCAGGTTTAATACTTTTTAAAAAAGGAAATGGAGTTCTTGTCCAGAGTGTAGAGTGGGGGGGGGGGGAACATACAAAAGGAAAACGTTCTAATTTCCATTTTAAAAATTGCTATAAAGTAGCATTTACTTAAAATTTTTGTTTTAATCATTTCTCTGACAAGTTGCATCCAAGCATTTCCCCTTCAGACCTTGCTAGACACGTCTCAGTATTTTGTACCCATCTTGGGGATAACTGAAGTATCAAGATCAAAAGTTTTTGTGGGTGAGCTTCTTAAATATTTGACAAAGAAGGCTGGGCTATAGCTCAGTGGTATTGTACTTACCTGACTTGTGCAAGGCCCACAGTTCGATCCTCAACACCAGAGCTGAGAAGGGGAACTAAAGACGAAAATCGAAGGAGTAAACTGACATTTCTGTACTTGGGGGTTATCCTGAAACACGGTCTCACCTCTCCTCAGTACACGAGGAGATCTTGAGTCCACATGTCCAGAATCTGAAACATGGAGCAGAAGACAAAACAGACAGGACACCTTTTCAACTGACTGGAAATGGTTTTTTATAAAACAGTCCAGAGCAGAATCAGGACTGAGGGAAGGACTGAACGGCCCACAAGTGAATGAATGGAGGAGAGCACTGGATACATTGCAGAGCAATGAATATATTTTCATTTAATCCTTCAATTAGTTATATACCCTTTCCTTTAATCCTCTGTGAATTAGGTGATGTTACTCATGCCCTTTTACAAAAGAAAACCCAAAGCACAGAGATCCTGGGTAACTTGTCCCACATCACACAGCTAGTAAATTGGCAGAACATGGCTGCGGAACCCAAGTTCTAAACCACAGTAATGTCCCATGCACCAGCAAGTCTGGTGGCAGGAGCAGGAGGAACTTGGCATGCAGTGGTGGTAGTGGGTAAAGCATGACATTCATTTGCTCAGCAGATGCTCCATCCATCACTTGGGACAGGCAGCAGAACTGAATAGGACAGTCACAGTTGCAGCCCTCAACACTTGGTGGGGGAGAGACCTTTAAGGTGTAGAAGGAAAAGTCAGGACAGCAGGCCAGGAGGAGGGAAAGAAGTCCAGGGAGGCTAGAGCCCAAGGCAGGAAAGCTGAGTACCCTGAGGGCTCAGCGGGGTGAGATGGCTGTGGGTCCAACTCAGTAGCCCTGGCAGGGCAGCTAGGGATTTTGAGATTGGCCCTAATGGTAATATAGCAGCTACTACGTGGTTTTCAGCAGGGGTGTAATTAGATTTGCATGTTCCAAATCACTGTGACCAATGAGCAAGAAACAGATTGAAGAGAAGCGGTGGTGGACTCTGGATGCCAATCGAGACCAATCCAGGGAAAGGTGCAAATAGCCATCAAAGAACAGATACAGACTACAGTAGGGCACAGTACCTCATGACCTGGTAATGCAGGGTGCAGTCCAACCAGAGGCAAGATGAGTTTAATAACGATCACGTTAGCTTGGGAATGACTACCAAGCAGCCAGCCCTCAAATGGTAAGTGGGCCTTTATATGTGGGGGCCACATGAAGCCTTGGGAGGAGATGTCGTGATTCAGGGATGTGCTGGAAGGAGGCTGAGGGATGAATTGAGGCCATGGATCTGGAGGAACACTAGCCTTCCCAGGTCTCCTGGCGGGCATTGCTGGCCCAGGGCAGCCTCACAGGCAGAAGGAAAACCAGCAGAGTGGTTCTCAGACCCAAGCCCAGACTGTCCAACAGAAGGGAATATGATCTTCAGAAGAGGAAGAAAGAGGTAAAGTACACAAAACTGCACATGGGCACCATTTGTGGAGATGTGAAAAAGATAACATTTTTGCAAGAATCTGCAAGAAGGTTTATAGGACTGCCTCTGGAGCGGGGCATTGGCAAGCTGGGTGGGGGACTTCTAACTGTATCCTTTCTGTGCTGGGTTTTTAGTTTTTGGTTTTCCCTGCTGTTGATGGCACCCAGGGCTTTGAGCATGCTAAATGCATGCTGTACCACTGAGCTACACCTGCAGCCCCGGTTCAGTTTTTAAATGACATGTATTACTTCAATTTAAAGGAAGCAATCTGTGGCTGGGTTTGGCAGGACGAGGCCCCCAGGATGTTTGCAGCTGGCCATGTCGGGGGAAGGTGAGTGGGGTTGGTTTGGTGGCAGGCTGGGGAGAGAAACCAGCTGTGGCAGGTGGAAGTCTGTGGTATATGTAGATGACTTTTATAAGTAGCTTATCGGAGAGAAAACTAGAGGTGAGGTGTGAAGAAGAGGTGGCTGTCGGATGTAGACAGAAGCCGGGCAGTGGTGTCATTACAAGAAAACACACTCGTTCACACACACACACACACACACACCCCAGCTTGTTTTAGAATCCTCTGGGGACGTCTTCCAGGAGCCTTGGCCACGGTTTGCAGACTCCACCATCCCCTGCCTATGAACTCAAAGGCAATGAATTGAGATCGCCGGCTGCTTCTCAGGCGGGGCCCCTGTCCCTTTCTTGGCCACCGTGTCCAGTTTGCCAGTTCCCGGATCACTCCTGAGGGCCTTCAGCCAAGGTCCTGGCTCCTTCCAGCCTGGTCTTCTCCACAGTGCCTCTCTGCACCCATGTTTAGGGGTTTCTCTTTGGCAGACAGAATGGAAGTGAGTCGTATGGCTCTGCTCTCCCTGTCACTTGCTAGCCTTGTGCTAACTGTCCTGGCTCCAAACTCGGGTCTGTATGTGACACTGGTCATGTGGATGGGATTTTTCATGGGCCTCACTCACGACATCAGCTTCCGGACCACCTGGCTCTGTGAGCCTCTCGCCCATGGACCCCTGTTTTTTGGTCTCTCCGGTTCCACACAGCCATGGCCATTCCTGTGCTTCCCCACTCATCAGGAGTGAGACACCTGCCCTGGGAGCACCCTCCTCTCCCAGGGCCTTGGCTTTAAGCTCACCATGATCATCTCTAGGTGTTGGGGAACCGGCAGCCGTGAAGTTGGGTATCCACTTCAGTGACCACTGCCAGATTGTGGCAGGGCTTGGAAGAGAGTGAGGAGCTGCTTCAAGGAAGCCTGTGGGAGGAAGCCTGCCCAGGCAAGGGTCTTGCTCTGCCCTGCACTGGCCATGGCGTCTGAGCAAAGCCCCCAACCTTCCACTTCCTCATCCTCAAGGTGGAGATGGTGTTGATTCACTTACTGAGCACTGATTAGGACCTCACACATTTGTCGCACAATCCTCAAGTCACCGTGAACACAGGTTTTCTCATTCCCACTCCCAGGGAGAAAGGCCCGCTCCGTGCCTGCCTGCAGGGGCTGCTGCAGGATACAGAGGCACCTGGCAGCCTTCCCATTCCTCCCAGAACCCCTCAGCCATCCACTCCCCAGCTACATAGACTTCCCCCTTTTCTGGAATCTTCTATTAGATGCACTGTAATTATCTCGCACCTTTGGACTGAGCTAAATGAAAGCAATTGTTTTTCCCATTTCTCTGTGTCCTGACAGACCCACCCAAACCTCTGAGGGGTCCCTGGTTAGTCCAGGTGTGGTGACCCCGAGAGACCCAAGGGCTTCCTCTCACCATTCCTTGGGGCAGCAAGGGGCCGTGCCCTTTGCCGTGTGGCAATCAGTTGAGCCTGCCATGCCGGCTGTCCCAGGGACTCCTGTGCAATCCCCTTGAGACAAGGGAGAAGGGCCTGACTCATTCTTCCCCTGGGGACTGGAGGTGGGGGAGCTTGGCCAGCAGCCCCTCCCTCTAGCTTCCCTTTGCTCCTTCTTGCACCCCTGTGGACTGGGACAGTTTGCTCCAGTGTCTTCCCTGGCCATTGAGGCAGGAGAGCTCCCCAAACCTTGCTGCTCTTCTCTCGAGGGGCTGCACCCTGTCTGCACCCTGCACTTTAACTGTGCCTCACAAACCTCTTCAGCTGGGTGTGGTGGTGCACGCCTGTATTCCCAGCACTTGGGAGACAGGGCACGAGGATGCCACAAGTTCAAGGCCGGCCTGGGCTACGCAAGACCCTGTCTCAAAAACAAATCTCTTTATGCCCCTCACTGACACATCTTAAATTTCTTTTTCTGTGGTGAAGTCAGTGAACCTATAACCTACACTGTGGTTGGGGTAAATTGAGGTCTCCATCTCCTCTCTTGGGGACTTCTTTGGACCCTGTCCAGTGATAGCTGGTGGTACCTGCCAGGCATCTGATGTGGGACGGGCCCTCAATTTAGTGGCTTACTGTGTCTTTAAGACCCTTACGATGCCAGAAGCTGTCCTTCCTGGCCCAGGTCTTCATGAACAGGAACATCAACATTTCTCATGAGCAGTCACCCTCCTTGGTTCCCTTCCCCTCCTCTGCCAGGGACCTGGTTGTGAATGTAGAACCTGCACTGCTGCAGTGTGGGTGCACCCAAGGCGTGATCAGTAATTGTGATGTCAATTTGACTTGCTAAGAACCGCCTAGCAGATTAGCAAAGGTCTGGGTGTGTTGCAAATGATCGACATGGATTGTAGGCTGCAAACTGAGGAGGGAAGCCCCACCCCAGATGTGGGAGGCACCAACCAATATAGCCCACCTCACCCCACTGCTCTGTCCCAGAATAAAAAGGGAAAGAAGGACCTGTGTCCTTTTCCTTCAGAAGAGCTCCAGGCTTTGACTTTGTCTTTGGAAGTCCTGCAATTCCTTCGGGCTTCCAGCACGGACAGACCCTTTGGGTTTCCTGGGTGGACTCACACCAGAGACTAGACCTTTGACTTTCAACTGGATCCAACATGCAGACAGCTGTCTTACACTCTTCCACCCCGATTCTGCAGGCGGCCATCAGAAGCCTACCCAGTAAATCCTTTATATATCATATATATAATCATTTTTTAATATTCTGTTCCTTTAGTGAACCCTAACACATGGAAGGTGGGTAAACATGACTGAAATTAAACCTAGGTCTTACCAGTGCTGATTCACAAACATTCCGGTGATGATTATGATGAAAATTCCCACCAAGGACAGGAGAGGACTGAAAAGGGACCCTGTCATTTTTTTTGGTACTAGAGATCGAACTCAGGACCTTGTGCTTGAGCTTGCACAGCAGGCGCCAGAACCACTGAGCTAAATCCCCGGCCCGACCCTGTCATTTTCAAATGCTTATTGTGTGCCTTCTCTCCACTTGGTGCAGAATGTTTTCATTTTCAAAATACTTTCACCCTGATTATTTCATCAATTCAGCCTTAAAAATATCTCACAACCTGAGCACAGTGGTACATGCCTATAATAATCCCAGCTACTCAGGAGGTGGAGACAGGAGGATCCCAAATCCAAGGCCAGTCTGGGCAACTGAGACCTTGTCCTAAAAAATAAAAAAGAGAGGTGAACTGGGGCTATGGGCTCAGTGGCAGATCACTTGCCTAGCATGCACGAACCCTGGCATTCAATTTCTAGTATCACAATAACAAGCAAAACAAAGCAAACAAAACCCCTCACCAGACTGATTACACTTAGGAGACACAGGCTGCACCCCATCTGGCTTAATTACCTGCTCCCTGGGGCTCAATTTCCTCACCTGCCAAGCAGGCATTATAATGAATAATCCTCAGCAAGCACACTCTCCGCACCTGATCCCTACCACAATCCCAGGAGGGCAGATATATTCCAGCTGAGCAGATGAGGAAACAAGCCCAGAAGCTACCAGCCAGTGGGACCTGGGAGCAGGTCCATCCAGCCTCGTAGGAGTGGAGTTCTCATCACTGCACTGCCCTTGTCACAGAGCTGCAGTGAGGGACAAGGAGTCATGGTGTTCTCACCATGTAGAAAGAACTTCCACTCCTTCCTGCTCTCGGTGGAGCCGCTTCCGTCTCCCACTCTGGCCCTTGCTGCCCACTTGCAGCCAGGGGGAGGGTGGGCTCTGCTGCCACAATGCAAAGGACCTGCTGGAGCCTGGGCTCTGCCTGGGGCCAAGGACCTCCTGCCACCAGGTAAGAGGGCAGGTGGTGACCCCTTCCCTCTCCTTCCCTCATCCACATGCGTCGCCAAGCCCCCACTGCACCCTGCTGCCACCTGCCTCACTGCCACGGTCACCCTTGTCCTCTGCTGTGACGCCCCTGGTGGGTGAAGATGTGCACTGCATTCCTGCCCACCTTCTGGTTGCTGCAACACAAGCTACTTGGGAGGTGTGGTCCCCCGCCCCCCGCCAGCAGCAGGTTAGGTATTGGTAGAGTCCAATTCTGTTACCAAAACCAAACCAGGACACAAAGTCCCTCTCACCCCAGGGCAACTGTGGCACCCTGTGACTTAAGCTATCAGCATCTTCTCAGCTGCTCCCAGGTGCCCACTTCCTTGAGGCCAGGTCAGTGGAGTAAGAGCACCCAATTTCTCCGGGTTGACACTGACTAGCTGGGGAACCTCAACCCCCTGAGCCTGTTCCCACATCTGAAAAGTGGGGGTGTGGGGGGTGTCTCCCTCGGGTCATTGTGAGGATTAGAAGAGGGCGTGCCATGCCGGACTCAGTGAGCTGCTGGTGGAGTCTGTAACAAGCAGGGCACCCACCACACCACTGCCTGGGACCTCACTGCATTTGTGGTTTAATGAGGAAGAAACAGATATTAAGCAAATGAATTCACATATTGCCATAGATTTGTGCCAAAGTGGGATATATTCCAAAGTGAAGTAGCTGTATATTAGCCAATCAGTGTGTCAGGCCATCTCTATCCATAATTAAGAGGGCACTGAGGGCAGGAAGAGCAGATCCTCAGTCCGCAGCACTTTGACCCACAAAGGGACCGGATGGGAAGTGCATCAAGTTAGGGGACTCTCATTCCAAAGCAGCTCCCAGGTTCCCCAGTTGCCGCCCTGTTCTATTTATTGCTCTAGGCCTGCTAACTGGGGTGGGCTTTCCCTGAGGGGGCTCAGTCCCTTCCCCCCACGTGTGGTTGCTGGGACCTTGGGATGGTCACCTTACTACTGTGCCTCAGCTGGCCTCTGTCAATGGGAACCATCTGGTTGCCCCTGGGGCAGAAGACCTAAGAACAGGCAGAGCCCAAGCCACTGTTGGTCCCAAGGTGTCAGGGTACCAAGGACCCTTCTTGCAGGGGTCACCACACTCCACAAGTGCCACCTGCTGTGGAAGACCAAACGGGCTGGCTGGAGACCTTTTCAGTTTGCCTAATGGAACTGCTGGCCAACTGGGTCTAGGAGCATAAAGCCTAAAGCAGTGAAGGCAGAGAAGCTGGGCTGCTGGCCCATGAGGGAGAGTCGCTGGAGCTGTGAGCCACATGCAGGAGGAGAAGAGGGGGAGGGTACCCAGGTGAGTCTCAAGAGTACTGGGGTGGAGCTTTGAGACAGGTGCTGCACAGCACCACACAAAGCTACTCCCCTGCAAAGAGGAAACTGGATGTGGCCAGAGCAAAGGGCAGAAGGATCATTTCCTGTAACCTGCAGAGGCAGCTAGGTAGATGTAAAAAACCTAAGAATCAGAAAAGCAACTGCTTTGAATCGGTTTTATTTAAATTTTACAGAAACCTGGAGTTCAGTATGTAAGTATAAGTCCAGTAACAATTTCTACAAAAATGCACATATAATGCCAGGATTTTTTGGGGGGTGGGGGTACTGGGGATCAAACTCTGGTCCTTGCGCTTGCAAGGCGGACGGTGGAACCACTGAGCTAAATCCCCAGCCCAATGCCAGGATTTCTTAAAAGCAGCTAATACCGTATTTGAATTTTGCATAAAACATGCATTATCAACTGCCACATGTTGGCCAAAATCAGTCTCTACAAGGAGAGATGGTCCTATACATAGTCAATAAGAAAACTAGCTGTGAACAACAGGTAAAAAAGGAGGTTTTCTGGTCAATGTAAAAGAAGGAGCAGTACTTTCAGAAATGAACCCTTCAGCACTGCGGAGCATTGTACGGCTGTGCAGCACAGTGCTGCATGGCCCGGAGACCTCGTTCTTAACAGTTCAGGTAGTAAGGGGCTTTCCCATAGTTAAATCAGACATTGGGAAGATACAAACTTTCAGAAGGGCATGGTACACTCGAGCACAACTTTGCAGAAGGGGTTCAAGACATCCTCTGAAGTCTGGAAGACCCGTCTGCAGATACCCTGAGCTTTTTAACCGAGCCCTCTCTCTCCACAAGGCCAGCTCAGGGCACACAAGGGTCTCCTGCAGCCAGAAAGCCTGGACCCACACATTGGTCTTCATGAGCATCCATAATTAGGAGGCTGAGCAGCAACAAGCAGGACTTGGACCATTTCTCTGAGGCCTTGACTTTTTGAAGATCTCATTCATCTTGTCCAGAGACTGTATGCACTTGTGCACATGACTGTTGCTAGGCATGAAAGGAGTATTAACAGACCTGTGCAGCCCCAAAGCTACAATGCTTCTGCTAATATGCCTCAGAGTGTGTCATCTACTGTCAGGAAAGTCCAGTTCCGTCAGAAGGAACTGAGGGCTCTATATTTACCAAAAGGTGTTTTCCAGACAGACTGAAGGGCTTCACAGAGATTTCCTACCAGCTGAAGGGACTTCCCCTCAAAAACGGGGTTTTATACAACATTCTGTGAGGATCTTCAGAAAAAGACCTCAGTCATGGAGAAGAGGCTGTGGATGGCACATTTAGGAACACAAACTCATCATTTGTGCCGCACGGGACCTTGTTTGGAATCTTCCACAAAGTCTGTCTCTTCTCACTGTAAGTAGCTAAGTCAGTGTCTTTTGTCTTCAGCACAGATTCAAGGGGAAAGATAACTTATTGGGGTTCTAACAACATCTTCATAACAGAATAGTATCAAAATAGGTCCATTTTAAATAGATGCTTATGAATATCCCTGATAATATAAGGAAATCCAGAGGACTTTGTAAACCACCAAGATTTCACAGGGGTGATACCCGGTCATTTTGTAGGCAGCAAAAAGGGGCTCGTGTACTGGCAGACTTTTCCCAGGAAGCCCTGTGAGCGCTCCAGTACTAAACTTCTAATATTGGAGTGCCAGTAGAACCATGAATGAAAATTTCGCTTTATTAGTAAAATTTGTAACAAAGGTTTGCTTCCTCAATCCTGTCATCAATCTCCCTGCTTTTGACAGACATCCAGGTCATAAACCAATCCATCAGTCCTGGCTACCCCAAGTTCCTAGACCCTGGCAGGCCATGACCAAACCTCAGACAGCAGGGAGGTGGGAGAAGGGCAGGTCAGGCTGAGGAAGCTGTGACCCAAGGCACCACGATCATGGGGTGGGGACGGAAAGAAGCTCAGGCTGACAGGAAGTAAACCTTCTGGACACCCACACAGGCCCTAGAAGGCAACACAACTGCGGTGAAGGGCAAACATTCAAAATTTAAAACAAATTCTTTTAAAAGAAACCAATTTTCTTTCTCAAAACCAAATCAAACTTCTTAAAACTTATAAGCAGAAAACCCTGGGTATCCTGGGGCAGGAGAGCTAAAGTCTGTGGAATGAGCTGCATTTAGCTGAGTTAAAGAAGGATGCTGGCTGTGACATCAGCATAACCACTGTGGCTACTGTAGTGAAGGAGAAAGAAAAGAGCGAGGCCGGAGGAGGAAGCCTTCACGGGGCAGAAAGGGGACCAAGGCTGAAATATGCCTCTTTTATTCCTGGAAGAGTAAGTGGCATTTTCACTGGTCTGAGCAAGAAAGCTCCATACTTCACTCTAGCTGCAATAATACTGCATCCCATCCACTCTTCTTCTCTTTTTTGACTGAAATTCTTCAAAGAACTGCTGAATATCCTCTCTCTTAACAACCTGTTAATGAAAAACAACAGGAAAGAAAACTATATTACAGAGCAATAAAAGGTTGTAACATTCACAAACAAGTCAAACAACACTACTGGTAAAAATTACAGACGTCCCTTGACTTAGGGACTTAGGATGGGGTTACACCTGGATAAGCCCACTGTAAACTGAAAATGCATTTAACACACATGACCAACGAAATACAGAGCTTAGCAACACAGTACACCACAGTCGTGCAATCCAGGGGTAACTGGGAACTACGGTTGGCTCAATTTCACCGCTCAATTTCAAGAGAGAGGATCTTATCTCACATTGGTAGCCTGGGAAGAGATCCAAATCCACAATTCAAAGCAGTTGCTACTGAGTCACTATTACTTTCACACCACGGCAAAATCAGAAAAACCCTAAGTCAAACCATCATGTGCTAAGGTCCTCTGCTTTAAAGTAAAATTAATTACACCACCTTGATTTTTATAGAAGACATCATCCGGGCTCACAGAGCTGGCATGCTTGGAGTCACACAGCTGAGGTGTAGAGGAAGATGGTTCAAAGCTTGGCTTCCATCCCCTGCCTCAGCTTCCCCATGTGAAGTGAGATAAAAGCAGCGCCTGCCTAACAGGCCCGCGAAGTGTGGCTGAGCTGTGGTGCCTGTAGGCCCTGCCTGGCACACAGGCACGATTATTGGAAAGGAGAGTGGCAGTGGCAGCACCCAGCCTGAGGCCCGGGAAGGGCCCCTGGACCCTGTGAAGCAGCGCCACAGCTGTCTTCTAGGAATGTCCCTCAGCCCTCCCCTCACCCACAGAAAGCAGTCTGCTCTGCTTTGAGGTTTGTGCTTGCTTCTTCACTGAGAGTGGAGAATTTTTTTTTGGTACTGGAGATCAAACTCGGGTCCTTCCGCTTTCGAGGCAGGGGAGGAACCACTGAGCTAAATCCCTGGCCCAAGAATTTTTTTTTAAAGAAAAAAAAAATCCATACATTCTAACTTCCTCAAGAGTCTGAAATTAAAGATGTTTGCTATGTAAGCAGAAAAATAATTGGGAAAAAAAACTATAGAAGCACTTCTTTTAGTAAATCCACTTTGTGCAATAAAAATGATAAATCTGTTTTATGGGAAAAAGAATTTAGAGAATTATACAAAAGTGCTTATGATATAAGCAAACTAAAATATTAAAAGAAAAAAATGAGGGAAAATATGAATTAAAAAGGCAAACTGGGGCTGGGGATTTAGCTCAGTGGTTTCGCCACCTGCTGCGCAAGTGCAAGGACCCAAGTTCGATCCCTGGTACCAAAAAAATAAATAAATACAATAAAAATAAAAAGGCAAACTGGAACAACCTAGGGATCCCTGCTCATCCCAAGAGGGAGTCTATGCCAGCTGATCGGAGAGAAAGCTGTCTAGAAGTCATCATAAGAGAAAGGTTTGTTATTTTTAATTGCAACAGTAACAGATGCTGGATGGTGGGATGGGAAAGTGAAAAACAGAAAAAGAAGAGGAAGTGAACGCATGTGAATAGCAGGGAAACAGACAAAGAAGTGTAAGAGAGGTCAATCACAGGTACACAAAGTGAAAACCTCCCTCTCCCTTCCCCAGGGGTAAGTGCTACTGACTTGCTCAAACAAATGTCAGTTTGGACTTGCAACTCTTTTCTTTGGGTAAAATATCTATTAATAGGCTGGGCGTGGGGGCACATGCCTGTAATCCCAGCACTCAGGAGGCTGAGGCAGAAGGATTACTGCAAGTTCAAAGCCAGCCTGGGCTACCACGGTGAGTTCAAGGCCAGCCTGAACTGCAGAGCAAAACCCTGTCTCAAAGCAAAACAAATAAATAAATAAAATAAGGGCCAGGGGTTTAGCTCAGTGGCACCGCAACTACCTCGAAAGTGCGAGGTCCTGAGTTTGATCCCTGGTACCAATAAATAAATAAATAAAACAGCTATTAGTTCTCAAAATGGAAGCGTTCTGTCAGCACTCTGCTACACAGCAGCAGCTGATATACCAGCTTCCCAAGCACCAAGAAGAAAACTGCTGGCCAACTCATAAGGAATTTGAACCCCAGGATTCAGGTCTAGAAAGCTAACCACACACCCTGAGATAAGTAAGTTAAATGGCTCAGGAATCTGAGTTACAAAGTGCTAAAAAATACAAGGCTTGGGAGTTTCAAAATGAAGGGTCTGTCCCTGCATTGGTTACAAAGATGAAACACTGAAAGCCACTGGGTGGGAATGTCTGTTATGGACCTGGAGGAAGGAGACCTAAAAGCACAACTACAGTGTGCAATCCATGGACCCTAGATGTCCTCCAGGGCTTACAGCCAGTGCTCGGTGTAGAAATGCTAATGAATAAATATTTGGGTTCAACAAGAAATAATTTCATTGCTTTGTCTCAAAGTTTATAGTTTCTAAATGTTATTTTTTATAGTCAGATGCAAACATTAAATAAAAGGCAGTCAGTCCAACATCTGAGAATATCTAGAGCTTAACATTATCCCCGTAGTTAAAGCTACGGGGATAAGGACCTGTATTCCGGCTATAGCACAGCAAAACTTTTAACTGTTTATAAGGGTAATCTTAGGTTATGAGGAGAAGGGTTAATTTTTGTCCTGTATCTGCCTGTGAAAGACAGGTTTTTTAGAAAAATACTCTGTTACAAACATAGGTAAAGGACTAAGAAGTACTTGTAAATTTATCAGGAACCCTATTTTAAACATGAGACCTTCTAGACCCAGGCTTAAAATTATAGATTTTCTTAGAAGGAAGAGAAACTTTTTGAGTCCCCAGTAGAACTTAGAATCCCAGAAACTGGGTCTGGTTTGAATTTTTCCTGCCCAGTCATTTCTCCTTCCCCCCAGGAATCCTTGCTTCAGGGCCAGGACCCACAGGCAGGGTCCTGCGCCTTCTCCTCAGCCTCAGCTGCTCCCCAGACCGGTGACTGCTCCACCCACATTCCTTCGGGCCTCACAGGTTGTGGTAAGGACTCCTAACGGGTCCTTGGGGGTTCATTGTTCCTTTCTGACTTCCCTTAGCCTGCCAATAACCCTTCAGTTTCTGCCTTAAATTTTCAAGTACTCCATTTTCTACCCGAGTCTTATTTTTATCCCTGTCGTGCTGGGGATGTAGCCCAAGGCCTCACTCGTGCTAGGCAAGGGCCTTACACTCCCAACTCCTTCACTGTCCTTCTTTAATCATCAAAGAAAATAAAGTTTATTAAAAATGTGAAAGGCCATGATTAAAATTCTTTAACATACCGTGCCTTCATCAGCAAATCTTTTCAGATAGTCTTTAAGTTCAGTCTTCAAGTCATTGTATTCTAAATCAAAACCACAACAGCACTTGAAATTTAGGTAAGCCATTTGCTTTTAAAAATAAAATGTTTATTTGCAGTTGAATATGTTAAATAGTTTAAGTCAAAATTTTTAAGTGAATCCTGCATAGAAACATGTTCCTAATGTCTTACAAATTCTCTGGACCTCCCTCATTTTAATAACTGGGATACTTTTTCTCTTAAAAAAAACAAAACAAAACCAGAAATATCCTCACTCCTATAAAGATCAACTAAGATTTTTTTTTTTTTTTTTTTTTTTTGGTACCGGGGATCGAACTCTGGTCCTTGTGCTTGCACAGCAGGCAGCGAAACCACTGAGCTAAATCCCCGGCCCCTCAACTAAGAATTTTTAAAAGGGTTTCCTATTTCTCTGGAATTCTAGTTCTTGACATAAACTTGGATTCATCAAACATTAAGTTTTAAAGCTCATTCACTCAACAGTTTGTATTATGTGTGAGGCACCTTGACGGCTACAAAAATGCACCCACTCTCATCAAAAAGACTTTCAGTCTAATAAGGGCAAAAGGAATGAATCAAAAAGTTACAAATAAAGGAGAAAAATAATGCCATAAAAGGGACCCAAAGGTGGTGGCATCCAAGTGGAAAATGGCTGGGACAGAAACTGAACTTGGCCATGCTGGGGTGGGGGAAATGTAAAAGCCTACAATTAATGGGTTAGGGATGTTTTTCCTTCCAGTGGCTTTCTGTGAACCACTGAAGCGAGCTCCAGAACTGTCAAAAAGATGACATGCTTTGCTCAAACAAATGACATGTAATGCTCAGTGAAAATTATCTCTATGGATGGAAAACTTTGCTATACTTCTGTATTTATATATATCTACCCTTAATCAAAATAGTACAGACTGTGGTTTCTCAAACATGTAATTATTTTAGCACGAAACTGTTAAGCATAAGCAGAATACTCAGCAACATTAAAATCAAGCAATAGTTGAGGCCCGCTACACCATTTTTGCATTTTCTTTGCATAAAATTAGAAATACGTGTGCTTATTACCTTCATTTCCACTTATTTTACACAGTGAAATAAATTTTATGAATTTTCACACACAAACAGTACTGACCACAAATGAGCTCCACTTGCTGGACTCTGTTCATGCTGCTAAGTGTATCCATTAAAGGGTCCCTCCTCTCAGTCGCCTGCTCAGTCTTCCCTTTGTTCTCATAAGCCAGAACGGTGTCACATTCATCCGTCAGGAACAGGACATCCAGATCACCATACATATTCTTTAAAAATAAAACCAGTTTCCCCATTAGAACTGCATATCATTTTCAGAAAGTCAATTTCATGGAAACTACTAAAAATGTATTTATTTTTAAATTAACACCTAGAAAAACCTGAGCTTCTTAGCACAGAGTTGCTTGAAGGATTTCTATTTTTTCTTTTTTGTTTTGGTACCGGGGATCGAACTTGGATCCTTGCACTTGCGAGGCAGGCAGGCGGCGGAACCACTGAGCTAAATCCCCGGCCCAGGATTTCTATTTTCTGCCCAGACCTTTTTCAGAAATCTCCCAACTTCTCAGTGTTTGTTGTAGGTCTATGAGCTCTTTATTTAAAAACCACTGACTTAGCCATATGTGGTGCTCCATGCCTGCAATCAAAGTTACTTGGGAGGCTGAGGCAGGAGGATCATGAATTTGAGGACAGCCTGGGGAACACAGTGAGATTCAGTTGGAAGAAAGAAAGACAGAGAGAGGGAGCAAAGGGGAGAGGGAGAGGGGGAGGGGGGGAGAGAGAGAGAGAGAGAGAAGAAAAGAAGGGAGGGAGGGGAGGGAGGGAGGGAGGGGAAAAAAAAAGAACTCACACTGACTTATTACAATTTTCAAGCAATTTATTTTTCCAAGCAACTTTATGATACGAAATGAACTGCTATTTTCCACTAAAAGATAAGGGAACAAAATGCCCTATGTAATTCTACATAATCCTTATTTTCTATAGGAATTCTGACAAATATGACTTCATAAATTTGCTTAATAGAAAAAGTTTGAAAAAGCCAGGTGTGGTGGTGCACGCTTGTAATCCCAGCGCTCAGGAGGCTGAGGCAGGAGGATTGCCATGAGTTCGAGGCCAGCCTGGGTTACATAGTGAGACCTGTCTCAAAGGACTGAAAATAAACAGTTTCCTATACTCCTACATCAATTCTGTAAATATACTTTTCAGTATACAGAACATACAAATATCCAACTTAGATACTCACCATACAGTCTTGGCATGTGCATAACTTGCTACGCCAGTTCAAGGGCCAATAGGTGGCAGTGTCTTTCTTCACAAATTGCTTAGCTTTGAGCTCCTGAAGTTTGCAGCCAGATTGTGATTCTGTGTTGAAGTTTTGATTCTTAAATGCTGTCTGAAATAAAATTAAGTTTTGAAGTGTTTTTTAAGGTATCATATTTTTAATAGATTAGACTTTGTATGGGATTTAAAATTTTTTTTTCTTTTAATACTGGGATTGAACCCAAGAGTCTTGCACTGAGTTACAGCGTGTGTATGTGGTACCCAGTCTTTTGTGTGTGTGTGTGTGTGTGGTACTGGGGATCAAACTCAGGACCTTGTGCTTGTGAGGCAGGCGAGGCAGCACTGAGCTAAATACCAGCCCAGTTTTTTTTTTGAGACAGGGTCTACCTAAATCACTAAATTGCCCAGGGTAGGCTTCAACACATGATTCTGCTTCAGCCTCCCAGAATACTGGGATTACAGATGTGTGCCACCATGAACAGCTAAAAGGATTTCCTTTTTTTTTTCAGTACCAGGGATCAAACTCAGGACCTTGCGCTTGCAAGGCAGGCACAGTGCCACTGAGCTAAATCCCCAGCACTAAAGGGATTTCCTTCGACAAAGAATATGGAAGAAATCCAAAGCTGTAGAACTTATAGAATTAATGTTGTCTAAGTTTTATTTCTTTTATGGCTTGTACTTCATCTGTTACCTGGAGATCAGATTCAGAACTAGAGCTGGTACATGGTTCATTATTCTGCTGTGCTTTAACTTCCTTGTCAGTATCCTTTGCGTGTTCTGGAATATCCTCTTTGAGGGTATTATCTTGATCTCCATTTTCAGTCTGGACAACTTCCTGATCATCTATTCCATCAACATTCAGTACTAATCCATCATCCTCAGCAGATATTTTGGTCACTGTGGATTCAATGAAAAGAAATAATACTGGTAGTATTGAAGCCACACACACATATCCATAGGCCAATCAGACAGTGAAATCACTTATTCTGATTTTAAAATATTTCAGAATGTAAAAAAGAAAAAAAGACAACTTTATCGTCTAGAATGAGAAAGGAAATATCAACAATTCTTACAAATCTGTAATCCAAATAATTAAATGATTCATTTGAAAATATCAACCACTAAGTACTTTATATGTAAAGGAGAAAAGAATATTCTGTAGGTATTAAAGAGAGATAGGATCCTCAAGAAACAAAAGGCAGGAGGAAGAGATTTAACTGCAAACATAAGTAGAAGGGTAGTTTTGAAAAACCACCGCTTTTTCTCCTGGGAAGAGGAAATCAAAAAGGATGGGTGTCAAGGCAGAAAAAATATAAGGGAGAGAAGAGAAATGGTAAGGAAGTTCAGGTTGGATGATGGCATTTTAGTAGTAGATGAAGCCATATGCTGATAGGCAAGGAAATGAAGGAAGAAGAGGAAGATCAATTGAGAACCCAATGAATGAGAAATACACACAGGTATAGAATCTGTAAAAAGAATAGATGTAACTGGGAAGGGCATAAAAACAAAGAAGGAGCACCAAGTTTAAGAAAATTAAGGCAAATCAAAAATGTAGGATTGCCAGCTGTGATGCACATGCCTGTAATCCCAGCACTCCGGGGGCTGAGGCTGAAGGATCGCTGGGAGTTTGAGGCCACTGTGGGCTACATAGTGAGTTCAGAGCCAGTCTGAACTTCAAAAAAAGGGTAGGATGTGGTTGGGGATTTAGCTCAGTGGTTCCGCCACCTGCCTCAAAAGCACAAGGTCCCAAGTTCGATCCCCAGTACAAAAAAAAAAAAAGTGTAGGATGAAGTTTTGCTGTGATGGTACATGCCTGTAATCCCAGCACTTGGGGGAGTTGAGGCAGGAGGGTCTTGAGTTTGAGCCCAGCCTGGGCAACTTAACGACTTAGACCTTTCCCTAATATTTTTAAAAGTCTGGGGATGTAGCTCAGTACGAGCTACTCATTATGAGGTAAAATCTCAGTACCATGAAAGAAAAAAAAAGGATAGGATCAGATCTTCAGTGTAGCTATGCTATATGTGGTTTGTACAGTAAAAATAGTCCCCAAAGGTGAGAAGAAATTAAGAGGCCAGAGCCCCAAAGATATGAGTAACTGTTACCTTAAAAATAAATTAATGGGGGCCGGGGATTTAGCTCAGTGGTTCTGCAGCCTGCCTCACAAGCACAAGGACCCGAGTTCAATCCCCGGTACCAAAAATAAATAAATAAAATAAAATTAATTAATGGGCCAGGGATTTAGCTCAGTGGTTACACCACCTGTCTTAAAAGTGCAAGGACCAGAGTTTGAGCCCCGGTACCACACACACAAAAAATTCTCAAAAATAATTTAAGGACTGGGAATGTGGCTCAGCACTTGTCTACCCTGCCCTGGACGTGATCCCTAGCACTGAAAAGATAAATACATAAAAAATAAAGAAAGTAACACATTTGGCATTACCAATAAGATATTTAATGCCTCAAGACCATTCACTGTTGATTAGTTGTTCTGAGTCAACTGCTTAGTGTATGATAAAAGTACAGTAATAGGTAAACTGTTATCACCATCTGTCACCTGCTTTGGTCTGAATTATTTTTTCTTTATACTGGGGACTGAACTCAGAGCCTTCAGAATGAGCTACATTTCCAGCCCTTTCTTTCCTTTCCTTTTCTTCTTTTCTTTCTTCCCTTCTCACCTTTCTTTCTTTACTTTTTGGTACCAGGGATCGAATTCGGCAGGTGCTATGCTGCTGAGCTACATCCCTGGTCCTATTCATTTATTTTTGTTTTGAGACAGTGTCTTGCTAAGTGGCTAATCAGCCCAGACTGGGTCTAAACTTGCACTCCTCCAGGCCTCAGCCTGCCAGTGCTGGGATCACAGGTGTATGCCACCACACCCTGTAATGTTTGTTTATCCCCCCCACCCCGCCCCATTCCGGGATCCAACTCAGGACCTTGTGCTTTTGAGGCAGGCATGGTACCACTGAGCTAAATCTCTGGTCCTCCAAAAAATTATCAAAAAATAGGGCCGGGGATTTAGCTCAGTGGTTCCACTGCCTGTCTCAAAAGCACAAGGTCCTGAGTTGGATCTCTGGTACCCAAAAAAACCAAAAAGAACCAAGATATTTTGAAAGCAAAAAAATTAGTACATTTTACTTGTTAGTACATTTTAGATATACATAATGATAACATTCATAATAGGGAATATGTATCTATCTGTACATGATATATTTTGCTTCTTTTTTTCCCATTTCCCCCCCTTGACTCTTCCTCCCTTCCTTATATAAAAAAGTTGTTTCCATTTTTTCCTTTTATTTTCTCTTTTGTAATGTTTATATGCTTCCAAAATTCCTACATTAAACCTAATCTCTAATGCCGCACTCAGAGGTGGGGCCTTTAGAAGGTGACTGGATCAGGGCTGGGCATGTAGCTCAGTGGCGCCACACCTGCCTGGCAATTCCAAGGTTCTGAGTTCCATCCCCATTACTAGGGGAAAAAAGAAAAGATGACTAGATCTTGGGGGCCCATCCTCATGTATGGAATTAACATCCCTAAGCCCAAGAGAGCTTAAGTGCCTTTTCTACCAAGTAAGGATATTTATGAGGAATGGGTCCTTCCCAAACACTGGATCTTCTGACCCTGTTCTTGACCTGTCAGCCGCTGGAACCGACAGCAATAAGTATCTATTGTTGATAAGTTACTCAGTAAAAATATTTTGTTATAACACCTTAAATAGACTAAGATGCCACCTCAACCAACAGCATATCTTACATTTAACAACAATTTATTTTAGTTCTATTTATCTTTCAAAATTTCATTCAAAATCTGCCTACTCCGCTGGGCATGTTGTTACACATTTGGAATCTCGGGTACTTCAGAGGCTGAGGCAGGAGGACTGCAAATTTGAGGCCAGCCTGGTCAACTCAGTGAGACACTGTCTCAAAATAAAAAATAGGGCCGGGGACTTAGCTCAGTGGTTTTGCCGCTTGCTGCTCAAGCACAAGGACCCAAGTTTGATCCCCAGTATCAAAAAAACCACAACAAAATAAAAAATTAAAAAGGGTTACGAGTGTAACTCAGTAGAGGAAGCCCTTGGTCCTATCCCCAAGACTGCAAAAAACAAAACAAAACCTGTCTCTTCCATTTTCTCTACTTCTAGTCTCATCCATACTCTGCACTACACCATTTAAGTTCAAATCTGACCTGAGTAGTCTTCCAAACAATCTATAAACATTACTTTGTATACCTCAGAGTCCAAAACAGTTGCTAAAAATTCTGGACTGAAAATACAAATTTAACAAGCACAAGTTTGTGTCACACCAACTTCACAAAGACACCTACCTGCCAACTGTGCAGCATAAGCCCACAAGAAAGAACAATGTTTCATACAAGCCTGGCACACCATTTCTTGGAAGTCCCCACTCTCAGGAGGAATGGCACCAAGATGCTATAAATTAAAAACAAAGCTGTTGTTTTTTTCTGGTGATCTCTAAGCTGTCTAAAATGCCCACTGTTAATTATTATCCAAGCCTTGAAAAATGAAGAGACCTGAAGATAAAGCCTCATTACGTTCAAGATAAACACTCCCCTGATAAGGCACACAGAATATATTTGATTCTTCACTAGAAGTGGGTTTCTACCAGGAGTTTGATACACAGTGCACCACATCTAAAAGTGAGCTGGCTAGATCACAATATGTGAACATTTTCAACTTTGAGCTTAACAGATGTATACACCCATGTTACCACCAACCACCATCACTGCCAAGATACGTAACATTTTCATCTTTCTAAAGAGCTCCCTCCTGCCCTTTAGCAGTCAATCTCCATCAACCGCCAATCTGCTTTCTGTCATAAATGAGTTTTGTGTTTTCTACAGTTTCAAATAAATTATATATTATGTAGTTTTACTGAAATCACTTTCAAATGGAATTGTAAAAAAATGCCCATAATGCCCATTGTTTTATAAACAAATACTGCAATAGTACGTTGATCATAACTTTATAGTTTTTTTGCAGCATAAAATGATTACATTTATCATGTAGAGTTAGTACGTGTATATATCTTAATTCTTTTCTTATCCCCTTTCCCTCCCTATAGGTTTTTTAGGAAGAGTAAATTATAATGTGAAATTAAACAATTCAAAAGGAAAAGATCATCTATCTCTTTGTGGATACAATGGTTTTAAAAGGTAGAAGTTTTCCTTACTCTTCCATGGAACCAGTCTTCACAGACTACACACTGGATCATCTCATCCGGAACCTAACACAGAAAAACAGTTGTTTTTTAATAATGACTGAATTCTGGGACATGGAAGTAAATCTGGCATGAAGTAGAATTAGATATTAATTCTTGAGGCTGAGGGTGTAGCTCAATGGTAGAAGGCTTCCTGAGCATTTGTGCGGTCCCCGGTTTGGTCCCCAGAACTGCAAAATGAAAAACAAAAAAACTTCTCTGCCAACTCTGTGATAACTCTATTTACATAATAATAGTTAAGGGGACAAATAAATTCATTTTGCATGCATTGGTAGTAAGGGCTTACACTGGGATAAGCACTTAGTACACAATTATCAAAGCTCTTTTGTACCAGTCACTTAATATCTCTCATAAAATTTTACTAGGCCATTCCCATTTCATACATAAACCTAAACCCAGGGAAGGAATGTGAACTGACCAACATAGAATGTGACAGCTGGGACTTTTTATCACAACATCCTGTCAGGTAAAATTGAAAAGTAAATGTTACCAACAATCTCTTGATAATAGACTTCTCTATTTGAACAAATTAAATAATGAAATGTCTGCACCATGAAAATTATGTATCAAGGGCATAAACTATTTTAGGGATGATTTTTCTTTTATACCCAGGCTTTCATATCTACTAATTATCTTCCTAAAATAATGTTGTTCTGTCCTTTTATTATGGTGGTTTAAGCGAACAAAGCACACACACACACACACACACACACAATACAAAGCAGTTTTATTCTTTTCTTTCTGTCCATCAATTATTTCATCATCTTTTTTTTTTGGCTTTATTCAACAGTGTTACAAGTAACACTTTACCCCATACCTTAATATATCTAGTTTTAGGGCTGGGGATTTAGCGCAGTGGCACTGCGCCTGCCTCACAAGCACAAGGTCCTGAGTTAGATCCCTGCTACCAAATAAATAAATAAATAAAATTCCAGTTTTAGGGGCCGGAGGTTTAGCTCAGTAGTGCCACTCCCTGCCTCAAAAGTGCAAGGTCCTGAGTTCGATCCCCAGTACCAAAAAAAAGATATTTTCAATTTGTTCTCTATATAATTTGGTTCAATAATTACAATCCAACACAAATAAAAAGCAAGAAAGGAGGCAGGGGACTGGGGATGTAGCTCTGTGGTACAGCACTTGCCTGGCAAGTGTAGGGCCCTGAGTTCGACTCCTGGTATCAAAAAAAAAGGCACACAGCTACTTTTGGTTAATACCAACAGCACTCTTTCAAATCAGTACATATGTAAAATAAAACTCTATGGGCCGGGATTTAGCTCAGTGGTTCCGGCGCCTGCCTTGCAAGCGCAAGGTCCCAAGTTTGATCCCCGGTACCAAAAAAGGAAAACTGTACCCAATCAAAACATGGGCTGGCAATATGAAAAAACAATTCAGAGGATAAATGTCCAATAACCTCAAGAAAAACATGAATAACTTCACTCAAAATCAAGAAAAGAAAAAATTGAAGAAAATACTAGCCTTCATTTGTTAGAATGACAGAACTTTAAAGGACTGGTAATATGTGGTGTTGCTAGGAGTGTTGGGAAGAAAAACACTACCATACATTCTTTGTGGTGGAACTCTTGGCAGACATGATCACAATTTTAAACACAAGTACCCTCTGACCTATCAACTCTATCTCTAGATATCCATTCTACATACTTACAGGAGTATGCTAAGTTATGTAGTGGTATAAGGATGGTCACTGCAGTCTTCTTTATCACAGTAAAAAATCAGATGACAGCACTCTACTACAGAGGAACAGATTATGGCCTAGGTCTCATGTCAAATGATGGGACACACTGCAGCAGCCAGAGCAAGGAAGATTTGTACTGCTTAACATGGAAGGATGCCTACGATATACTGATTAAGTGACAAAAGCCAGTTGCAGAAGTAATGCGCAGAACTTGCACTTTATTGAAAGAAACTACACATTGAAACTCATTCAAATATTGTTAGGTGTACACAGAAAGGCCTGAAAACATAAAACAAAAAGTGTTAACAATGACTGTAGCTGGGAGGTTAAGGAGTACAGGAGAGCCAGGCATGGTGGCACACACGTGTAATACCAGCACTCAGAAGGCTGAGGCAGGAGGATGGCTGTGAGTTCAAGGCTAACCTGGGCTACATAGCGAGTTCAAGCCCAAGCTGAGCTACATAGTGAAACCCTGTTAAAAAAAAAAAAAAAAAAAAGAAGCTCAGGAATAAGGAAAAACTTTTAAAATTTTGAGTATACTTTAAATTTTTTAAGAGGATCTAGTTTGTACACAAGTCTTTCCTTTCCGGGAGGAGAGAAGTTGAAGGTCATTTCTTACAAAGTGTTCGGGGATGGGGCAGGAAGCAGGAATGACAGAAAGAGAAGTAGTTCTGGCCTTGGGAAAGTCCTCTGCAATATTTCATTCTTATGACATAAGAAAGAGAATAGCTGAAATCTGTACCACTGATAGATCCAATCCAGATTCATAAGAAGGGGTAAATCTGGACTCCCTGAGCATCCTGAAATGCCTCCAACAGAGCTCCAGACACCCAGAGGCTGTAAATTCAAGGCTAAAGATGACACAGTCACAGGTTTTACCTTCCAATTCTTACCTCATCTTCAGGATCAGGATAAGGTCTCTTGCAAATGCAGTACAATCCAAAGAAGTTGTCATTATACTTATTACCAAAATTTATCTTTGCTTTGTCCTGAAAGATAAATTTCAGTATATAATATAGTCTAATATTAAATATAATTTCATCCATCATAAAATTTATATATTCAATAAATTTCTGCATTAAATATCTTCTCCCTAGAAGCTAATCTTTAACTTTCAAAATCTGAAGAAGACATTCACTCCTATTAGAGATACTTTTTCCAAAGTACAGGGAAAAAATTAAATTTCCTTTATCTTATTTGTAGCAATTGGAGGAAACTGAATATAGTAATTCAATTTAATTTTTTTTTTTGGTACTGGGGATCGAACTCAGGACCTTGTGCTTGCAAAGCTGGTGGCAGAACCACTGAGCCAAATGCCCTGCGCCAGTAATTCAATTTAAAAAGAGACAGAAGTTAAAAAAAGAGAGAGAGAGAAGTTAATCATAAATACTAGTTACCAATTTATGTGAATTGACATTGGCCTGGAATTTCAAGATACAGTACTTTGTGCATAGCTCTGATAGCCAAGAGCCTTCATGTGATGAATGGGCAAAAAGGAATGCAAAGAAATGATCTAAAATTAACCTTCAAAGTAGGGGAAAGATGTTACACTTCTAGCAATTATGACTGAAAGTGTGACATTCCTTTCTCTTTTATCTATTTCCACTAAAAGTTACCATATAACCATAGTTTTTATTGGCCAAAATACAGTGAAAAGTCCAGTCTGCATCTAGTCCATATTACTGTCAATTTTTTTTTTTTTTTTGGTACCAGAGATCGAACTCGGGTCCTTGCACTTGCGAAGCAGGAGGCGGAACCACTGAGCTAAATCCCCAAAGCCAAGTTTTATTTATACAGTTTTAAAACTTATAACCTTTGCTTTAAAAGCCTCAGAACATAAGCATAACCAATATAAATAAACCTGAATCATTTTAAAGGTTTCCCCACAAAACCTTTCACATTAATTATAATCTGTATCAGAGACTCTAAACATTATCTTGTTTTTCCAACAAAGAAAGAAATGAAATGCTCATCTTCAAAGAATAAGCAAAAGCACCTTCTTTTTGGAAAATAGTTGGTCTTTACCCACTGGTAAATTTCAACCTTTGTTCTGTTTTGCTTTGTTTTTTGGTACCAGGGATCAAACTCAGGACCTTGCGGTTTCGAGGCAGGTGGCAGAACCACTGAGCTAAATCCCCGGCCCCCAACCTTTATTCTTTTAAATGCATTAGTTGTAATGATGTTTACTTACAGGAAATAATTTGCATTCCAAATTTTTAAACTTGCTGTTTCCACAATCACAACGAAAATTTCTGAAACAAAGAGGAAGAGCCAATATTATTTTTTTTTAAATCTAATGAAGTACTATTTAAACTCAGATCATATCCTCTTCCCTTCTGACTCATTTCTAAGATCTAAAAAATGGCTTTGATTGCTGTTCATGTATCTGATTTGGAATTCCCCAAGCACAAAACTATAAAATATTTTATAATTCTGGAAATTAATATGCAAAATAAATATGTATCAACAGTGCTATCCTGTAGTCCCAGCTACTAGGGAGGTGAGGCTAAAACTGCTTGAGCCCGGGAGTTCAGGGCCAACCTTGGCAAGAGAGCAAGACCCTGTCTTTAAAAACAAAATAGAACAAGTGTCTACATTACTCTTGCACACACAAAAAAGGGATAAGTAGTTTGAGTCTATACTATAATTATATTGTAAAAGGTATTATGGAAAAATCATTCTTTCCAATTATATTAAATCTCACTAGTGCATAACTACTGTGGGTTTTTTTTGTTGTTTTTGGGGGGTTTTTTTGGTACCGGGGATTGAACTCGAGTCCTTGCGCTTGCCAAGCAGGCAGCAGAAACACTGATCTAAATCCCCAGCCCAGTGCATAACTACTTTGAATGAAAAACAAGATTAAGAAGAATTGTAGTTGGGAAAGAAGCTAAACATTTAGAAAATATACGACTATCTCAATACCTTTTTGTGTAGAGCTCAAATAATTTATGGCTTCCATGACATTCATAACTGCAGGCCAGACAAATTCCTGCTGGTTCTCCTCCCTCTGGAGTGCAGGTACTACAGGCATACAGTGCTTGTCTCTTTACTGAGCCCTAAAGACAGCCCCAAAACAGAAGAGAGTAAGTTAATGAAGTGGCATAGTTACCTAATACTAACACTAAGGTTTGAGAAATAAAATTATCTGTGATTAAGATCTTCCTATAAAAATGGAATTTAAAATGTTTATAGAAGAGTACCAAAACATTGTTGCATATTTCATTTCTATACTGATGTTTATTTTCACACAATTTTTCCTTAAAGGTCAGAAAGTTTAAATTTGTCAATCAGCTATGAATGAGTTGGTCTGCTTAATCATTTTGACATATGAAAATGTAAGTCAACGTGTATAGGTTTATGTTAGTAACATCACATTTTAATTTTGGAAAATGCTTATAACTATAACTACACCAAAGGAAAACAAATCAATGCATGAAAAGAATCCCTTTGATTTTTAGGAGATGCATGCTCAATTATTTATTTTTTTAATAAATTTTATTTATTTTATCCCATTCCCCCCCCCAACCCCCTCCCCTCCCTATATACAAAATGCTGAAGTATTTAGAAATCTAGTATTATGGGCTGGGGATTTAGCTCAGCAGTGCCACCAGCTGCCTCCTAAACGCAAGGTCCTGAGTTTGATCTCTGGTACCCACCTCCCCAAAAAATGTACTATCATGATGTCTGCAACTTACTTTTAAGTAGTTCCCAAAAAAAAGCAAATGTGGGGCCAGGGATTTAGCTCAGTGGTGCCACACCTGCCTTGCAAGCCCAAGGTCCTGTGTTTGATCCCCGGTACAAAAAAAGAGCAAAGTGTGTTATATAAAGGAGAAATAGAACAAATGTGACAAAATATTAAAAAGTGAATATAGCCGGGCATGGTGACACACGCCTGTAATCCCAGCACTTGGGAGGCTGAGGCAGGAGGATCACCACGAGTTCTAGGCCAGCCTGGGCTATATAGTGAGTTCAGGGCCAGCCTGAACTACAAAGGGAGATCCTGCCTCAAAAAAAAAAAAGTGAATATACATTAAGAGGTATACAGGGTTTTTTTTCCCACTTAACTGTAGATTTAAGATGTTTCAAAATAAAAAGTTGAAGGAATGGGGCCAGGGATTTAGTTCAGTGGTGCCGCCGCCAGCCTCACAAGCACATGGTCCTGAGTTCGTTCCCTGATAAAAAAGCTGAAGGGAAAAAAGGCACAATTTTTTGCAAATCTTGATCAGTGTTACCCTACTCTAGAAAGGCAGGCTTCAGTAATATTCTATTATTTCTTGATCTGGGTTTGTTTTCAACATATACATCTGACCTATGTAAATCTCTGAATGTTTTACTAGAGTAAGAAAATTTTAAGTCCATTTGATAAAGACTTTCAAAACATAGACTTCAGACCTCTTTTTTCTTAACCAAGGCAAAAGTTGTTTTTAGGAGTAACCAAAGGATCTGAATACCAGCCAACATCTGGGACTGTCTCTGGACACCAGGTTTATTCAACAATCTAACCACTTCACAGTGTAAACTCAGCTTGGTCAGTGACTGGCAACAGGTTAAATTCTGACATCAGGGGTGGGGGATTGTAGCTCATCGAGCACTTGCCTACTGTGCGTGAAGCTTTGGCTTCAAGCCCCAGTACCGCAAAACAAAAACAAAATTATGATTGAATTCAAGTCCCTCCTCTCATTCTTCACTATTCCACTTGAGCCCTGCCCGAGGCAACATTTTTCCTTCCACCAATTTTTAACGTTAGTTTTCTTCCTACCCATTCTTCTCCATTTTTTTTCTTTTCTTCTCCATTTTTGTACCTGAAATATGAGATGAGTCACAAAACACATCACACCCCCCAAACCCTGATTCACAAAATATTCCAAATGCCAAACAAATCCTTTTCTCTGGCTAGGGTCACTTGCCGTTCTGGTCTCTGTTCGGTCTATTTCTGGGGGAAGAGGAGCCAGACTGTAAACGGGACTCTTGCTTCGTTTGTTAAAAAAGTACTGGTGAGCACTGAACCTGTACTGCAGAGCTGTGAAGAAGCCCACTGCACAGGGGGAGATTTTCAGATCCAAAGCTTTTTATCTCTACTTTGACCTCGCGTTCGATCCCTAATAAACACGCTTAGGACGGGAAAAGCAGGCACAAAAATGTCTGGATTCGACAGGTCAAGGGTATGGTTCCGTGCAAAGCATTCGGGCCTCCAAGAGACCGGAAAGACAGACCAGCAGCAGGGCCAAAGCCTGGCGAATCCCAACCATTGAAGACAGGTGGAGGGAGGCCCCTGCTGGACACAGCGGAGGAAATGGGCGGGGGCGACTGAGGAAAAGGTAGCCGGGCCCGGAGCGGGAGCGCAAGCCAACGGCGGACTGGGACCACGGGGAGGCTAAAGCAGCGGGCGGGGATAGGAGAGCGAGGCCGGAAGGCTCCTGAGGTCAAGGGGGAGCCCGAGGCAAACGAGGCCCGGGCCGCGCGCCCACCTGCGAGTAGGAGCACTTCTCAGAGTCGCTGCCGCCCAGGACTGCACACGCCTCGTTCTCCAGCTCTTCGTCTTCCTCAAGTACGTCGACCAGCGACACCACGGGCTCCAGCTCCGACTGCCGCCCAGCGTGGCCCCCAACCCCAGCCATTCTCAACTGTCACCAGGACCGCAGCTCTGCCCCGGCGGAGGCGGGAAAAGCGTCCGCGAGGGGCGTAGCAAAGGAGGCGGGGCATGAGTACCAGAAACCAATCGTAAAGAGGGAAAACGGAGGAAGGGGGAGGAGAGACCTCCGGAAACCGGAAGCCACTCCTCTTTCTCCCGCCTACGCCGGTGGCGAGCTGGCTTCCGCTTCCGGGTAAGGCTTCCCTGTGGCGCGCGCTTGAAGCTAAACAGTAGCTATGGAGCTGGTAGGAGAGTACGTCGGGCGGGACGGGGAGCGGCGTCAGCTGCGGGTTGTTTGTGAAGCGTCCGATGACGCCGACCCTCTCCAGAAGCTGTTGTCGGGTGTGGCCCAGATGAAGGAGCTGATACCCAAATTCTTCGAACCCCTGGTACAGCGTGAAGCTAAGGGCCGGGTGACTGCGGATCCAGACGAGACACTGGAGGGTGAGCTCTGAGGAGATGCTGGAACGGCCGGAGGGCGGGGCGGGTGTGAGTGGCAGCTGGCAGAAAGCCAGCCTGGGCCGAAGTTCTGCCTCTAAAACTTGTAGGACTGCCGTATTTATGGTAGTTGTTTTTACCCAGTTTTTTCACGATACATGTATTTTTTGTTGTGCCTAGTATTGGGGTGAGGTCTGGAGAAAGAAAGGAGTGACTGCAACTCTTCCTGCCCTTGCTGAACGCTAGGGGTGAGACGGGCAGACAGGTTATTAAAGAGTGAAAAAGTGATTCTGTGGCCCTTTGTAACTGTTGCAGGAGAAGAAAACTCAGAAAGGCTCCTGTGGAGAGGGCATGACTTTTGAGCTGGATGTTGAAAGAGGAAAAGGACTTTTACCAGGTGTGAAGTTATACGTTTGAAAGAGTGCAAAAAAGTTCCAAAGATGGGGACAGAGTTCAGTTTAACAAGAAATAACCCCCGAGGGACCCCTTTCCCCATCCCAGTTCTGTAGTTGCAGTTTTGTAATAGAACCGTGAAATTTTAACTCCGTTTTTAAAAATCTTGTTTGTTTGGTACTGGGGATCGAACTCGGGTCCTTGCGCTTGCGCAGCAGGCGACGAAACCACTGAGCTAAATCCCGGGCCTAAAATCTTGTTTTGAAAACAGGTGTATTTTTGACTGCCTTGAGTTTATAAACCTAATAACTAGCCGGGGATTCAGCTCAGTGGTTCCACCTCGCAAGCGCAAAGTCCCGAGTTTGATCCCCGCTACAAAAAAACCCCACAAAACCTAATAACTAGACTGGCAGTCAGTTCTGTAGATGAATTTAAACTGTATTTTATTTTTCATCTTGTTTCCATCTTTTTTGTTCTCATCTTGATAATGTGGATGTTGGCTGTAATTAAAAACAGCAATAACAAGTGTTGGCTAAAATATGAAGAAACTGGAGACCTAGTACATTGTTGGTGGAAATGTAAAATGGTGTATCCACTTAAATCAGCTTAGCAATTCCTCAAAAACTTAACGTAAAATTATGATCAGGTGGTTCCACTGCTAGGCCCCTCAAGAGAACTGGAAGCATTTGTACACAGAAACTTACGCATGTACATAACAGCGTTATTCTTTAAAGCTAAAAAGCAGAACCAACACAGACAGCTATCAACTTGATTGTTCCATAAGCAATTTGTGGGTGTCTGTACAATGGAATATTTTTTAGCAATAAAAAGGAAGAATTGATACAGGCTACAATAGAAATGAACCTTGAAAACAATCAGATAAGAAGGGCCACGTAGTATAGATTGAATTTCTATAAAATGTCCAGAATAGACAAATCCAGAGATAGAAAGTAGACTAGTAATTGCAAGGCCTGAGGAGAATGGAAAGTGACTGCTAATGGGTAAAGAGATAATTTGGGGGGTAATGGAAGCATTCCAGAATTAGTGGTGATAGTTTTACACAAGGAAGCAAATAGGTATACAGAAAATCCCTAAGCTATACGCTTTTAAAACTGAATTTTATGGTAAATGAATTGTGTCTCCAAAAAAAGAAAGTGGCAGAAAAGAAAGGTTTTAAATACTGAAATTTTTTTTTTGGTACTGGGGATCGAACTCGGGTCCTTGGCTTGCGAGGCCGGCGGCGGAACCACTGAGCTAAATCCCCGGCCCTGAAATCTTTTACATATAAAGTATGCATGGTTTTATTAATCCCTAAAGTGAAATGGCCTCATTCTAACCATTTTATCTGTCTTATCTTTATGTCTCAACCACTGAACATAATGTCATACAACAAATCTTTATTTTAAAAGGTAATGATGAAGATGATGCAGAAGATGAAAATAACATTGATAAAAGAACTAACCCAGAGGGACCATCTGCAAAACGGCCAAAACCACCATCTGAGCCATAGCTTTCGTGAAATTTAAAAGACTGCTACTTTGTCCTAATTTTCACACACTGATATTTAAAGAAGACTAATTTGGGAAAGCATTTATGTTTGCCTGGGACAAGTTTGGCAGAGGGAAAGCTTTCTTCTGTTTTTAGCAGAGAAAGATACAATAAATCTTTAAGAATAACATCTGTTTTCTTGCATAAGAAATTACAGGACATAGAAATGTATAAAATAGGCCCAGGGATTTAGCTCAGTGGTTCCACCACCTGTCCCGCAAGCGCAAGGACTGGAGTTCAATCCCTGGTACAAACAAAACCAAAAAGAAATGTATAAAATACATAACATAATGCATGAAATTCTCTAAGGCAACTGAATCATCATTGTTCTCTTTAAAATAACCATTGAATTCAATTGTGTGAGGTCTACATCTTCTAGCTTCTGATATAAAAAGTACATGTCATGAATCATTGGCAGTAATATTTCAAAGAATTGATATGAACAAGTAGCAAAAATTGGGTATTAAATTTCAGAATGTCAGTTCCTTAAAAATAGAAGGAAAATAAGAGACTAGGAACACTGAAGAGAAAGCAGACTTTGAGATCCAAGGAAAACATCCAGAGATGATTCTACTCAATGAATATAGATTAATTTTCTGATTTATCTAGTACCTTGACAGGCAGATGGGGTATGTTTTTGTGCTGCAATATGATATATACAAGTACAAATATGAGGCTTAAGTAAATCACCCTTGTTGAATCTAACTTAGGTTATTTCCAGACCATCTATGTTGACTATCACTTAGATATTTCCACTCCTGTTTATTTTATACTTCATTTTACTTAACAAAGAACTGTTGAACCCCTTTAAAACTACAAATTGCTAGCCATGTGTGGAGGTACGCTCTGTAATCCCAACACATACTAGTTTGAGGCCAGCCTGAACTACAGAAAAAAATCTTCCTAAAGCATATGTGTATATACACGTGCACATGCCTTTTCAGTGAGATGGGGGCATTTTTTTATGTGCTGTACATCTTTCCAGATTAACTGATATAGCTAAAACAAAGGAATCAAACACCATGTAATGAAATACAAACAAATATAGAATTTTAGATTTGGAAGTAACCTTACAAGTTATATGAATATTTTAGAGATAAACAATGTTAGAATAGTTACTTGACTTGGGTAACAGATAACCATTGGCAGAGGTAGGTTACATATATAGCCTTTAGGTATTTTTTAGGCTGATAAAACATTAGAGAAATAATTAATCAACTTTTGTAATCACCTTTATGAAATACTTTTAAGTGATACTATCATTGTGCCTTCCCAGTTGCATATTCTGAAATCTGTAGCTTACTACATGCTTTTAAGGAAACTCAATTTACGTGCTTTTCATATCCTTAAAATAATGTTATACTTGGAACATCAGCCTTCCACTAAGTCTTCTTATGTAATCAAAACAGTGCCAACTAGAAAAAAGTTGACCAACTACAGATGGTCAGAAATCACCTTGTTTATGGGCTGGGGTTTAGCTCAGTGGTTCTAGCACCTGCAAGCACTGGAACCACTGAGCTAAATCCCCGGCTCACTTCATACAACCTTTAAAGAGAAAACTTACCCATATATAGTTAAGACAGTATATAAATTGATAGTTGAACTTTGCTTCTGAACATTTTATGTTACCTTTGTTTAGTAAATGTGTTTTAAAGAAATTTCAGGATAGTATTTGTGCTTATAGTCCAATGTTTTGAGGTTCTGGGTTATAGGTCTGATATTTTACTTAATTTTAATATTGAAATACTTTAGAATATTTTAGAATACTTTAATACTGATTCTAATTCTAATCCTGTCTTCTTCATAAGTGAGCCCTATGTTTGACCAAAAAGATGTGGGGTTTTTTGGTACTGAGAATCTGACTCAGGACCTTGCACTTGCCAGGCAGGAGCAGCACCACTGAGCTAAATCTCCAGCCCCTAAAAAGATGTTTGAAGGACCACTTTCTTCTATAGTGGTCCTATAGAAGAAATTTTTTTTTTCCTTTCTGCTTTGTCTAATTTTCTAATTTGCTTTTTTTTTTCTCTCTCTTCGGTACCGGGATCAAACTCAGGACCTTGCCCTTGTAAGGCAGGCCTGGTGCCACTGAGCTAAATCCCTGGCCCCTCTAATTTACTTTTTAATGGTACAAACATTAACCACAGGCAGGCAGGACAAAGTTATTTAACTCTTTGAAACAGTTGCAACATTACTTTTGTATAGGAAAGCCAACCCCACAGTTCCACCTTATTAGAAATAAGTTTAGATGGGTCAAAAGCACAAGGTCCTGAGTTCGATCCCCCGTGACCAAAAAAAAAAAAGCTTAGGGACCAGGGATTTAGCTCAGTGGTGCTGCTCCTGCCTGGCAACTGCAAGGTGCTGAGTTTCATTTCTGGTACAAGAAAATGAAATGAAAATAAAAATAAGCTTAACACTAGGCTTAGATAATCTTAAATGTGAAATATGGAATTTTCATAAGATGTCTTTCCTAAAAGTAAGTGCTTAAGCAGTACTTATTTAAATAATAGAATTCTGTGGCCACTGACTAACACTTTTACAATAGGTTGAGGTTCCTTGGCTATAAGGACTTTTAAGCATTTTTTAACCACTTGTAAAAAAAAAAAAGAATTACTTTGTGGGAAGAAATAGAGATAAAGAATATGGGAGGAAACTGGTCTGTCCCTTGAGCCAAGTGATTTTTGTTTATCTTTTCTCATCTTCTAGGTCTGAAAATTTTTTTTTGGTACCGGGGATTGAACTCTGGACCTTGTGCTTGCGAGGCAGGTCTGAATTTTAACATTTCCTTCAGGAATCCTTTTTGCTCTTTTTGTTTTATCGTTGCACTAGGGATTAAACTCAGAACTCAGGCCCTCATGCATATCTAGGGATTGGATGCAGGGCCTTGTGCATGCTAGGCAAGTGCTTTACCACTGAACTACATCCCCAGCCCTTTTTATTGTATCTTGAGACAGAGTCTTGCTAAGTTGCCCATGCTGGCCTCCAGCTGTGATCCTTCTACTTAAGAGACCTGTATTTTTAAGGAAATAAGGTGTATGATTTCTTCCAAATGAGAAAAAAAGTTGGGAGATGTCTGTGACTCTTGGTTATGTAGTACTTTTATCTAGTTTGTATATTTACCCTATTAAAGATACAAATATTTCTCAGTGAAATTGTTTGGGGGGGGGCAGGCAGGAGTGGCACCACTGAGCTACAGAACTACACCCCCAGCCCCTTATGTTTTTTAATGTGGCCTTTGCACTGAGCTACATCCCTAGCCCTTTGTTTATTTTGAGACAAGGTAGTGCTAAATTGTCCAAGCTGTCCTCTAACTTGTGATCCTCCTGCCTCAGCCTGGTAAGAATCAGGGACGAAAAGGAGGTTTTTCATTGTACACCCTTTTGTTCTCTTTGCTTTAAAAAAAGTTTTTCTATACAAATACAGAAAAAATTGTGAAATCTTCAAACAACTTTTCAATTTAAAAAGTCATGCTTGGGCCAGGGATTTAGCTCAGTGGTGCCACTGCCTGCTTTGCAGGCACAAGGTCCTGAGTTCGATCCCCAGTACCAAAAAAAAGTCATGCTTTAAGGGCCCGTGCCTGTTTTGCAAGCACAAGATCTTGGGTTCGAACCTCAGTACTAGAAAAAAAAAAGTCATGCTTTAAATTTAATAGGGGCAGATCAGCCATTTTAACAGTTTAATACACTGTTATATATGTAATTCCAGACAAAATACAATTCATTCAGACTTTAAAAGCAAACAAACAAAAAAATCTGCATTTCCCATCAAAATGCTTTGTCAGAAGTAAAATGCAACTTCCAGAGGTTAGCAGAACTGGACCCAATGTGCCTAGCCTTAACCTTTAAAAAATTGCACTACAACCAGAGTGCATTATTTCCAAAGTATAAAATGAATTTCACAATGTTGTATTAACTATTCCAGTTCTTAGGTGACTTTTGAGATCAGAATTGCTCTATTTAAAGACATGGCCCAGGAAATGGTGAATGCTAGAAATAAACTTCTGTTTAAATCTTTTAAAGAGTAGCAGCTCACACTGGGATACCAGTAGGCCAGTGGAGGAAGTTTTAAATAGAAATTTACTCTGATGCCAAAAATTCTGGTGGGGTTAGAAGTAGTCTGAATGTTTTATGGATCCAAAGTATTGTCTTCAGTACCTGAGTAATCTTCAGAGTTGTGTAACAATTTCTTAAGGGCTCTAACACCACTTAAAACCTTCTTTGAATGTGCAGGTTTTCCTCTGCATTGGTAAGGAAGATTCCAAGACAACTTAACAGCATAAGGCCTACTGGCAAAAATAGACTTTTAAAATTCTTGACCTTGAATAGAATATATCACATGTTGAAACCTGAAAAATCCTAATAACTACACTAGAAAATGTGACAGATTATGCTATGCACCTAATAGTAAATATTAACTTTTAACCTTTGTTCGCAGAATGAACTCGACTGTTTTGCACTAAGAGAAGTGTGCATCAAATAAATAAATGTTGAGTTCCAACTATGTACAAAGCACTGTTCTAGGCACAGAGCTCATACCAGTGAACAGACAAAGGATGCTAAAATTTAAATAGGGTAATCAGAGCCTCAGTAAGGTGACATTTGAGCAAAGGTTTGAAGAAGGTAGTGGGGCAGGGCAGGCCGGAGCAACAAAGCAGAAGACAGGCTGCATGCTGAGGTGCTGAGTCAGAGTTTTCTGGTCCATTTAAGAATCATCAACAGACGAGATTTAGCTCAGTGGTGCCCCGCCTGCCTCAGAAGTTCAAGGTCCTGAGTTCGATCCCCCATACCAAAAAAAAAAAAAATCATCAAGACCAGTGTTGGGCCAGGGATTTAGCTCAGTGGTTCCACTGCCAGCCTCACAAGTGCAAGGTCCAGAGTTCCATCTCCAGTTTAAAAAAAAAAAGATCAGTGTGGCTGAAGTGGAGTCGGGAGTGGAAGGAGTAGTAGAAAATGAAGTAAAGATACAGGGTGGGCTGGGACACTGACTTAGGTTTTTGCTATGTTAAGAAATCCAGCTTGTATTATGAGAAGGGAAATTTAGGATTTTTGAGAGGGATAACACTTCCTTTAAAATCTTCCAAAGGGCCGGGGATTTAGCTCAGTGGTTCCAGTGCCTGCTGCGCAAGAGCAAGGTCCCGAGTTTGATCCCTGGCACAAAAAAAAGGATTGAAAAAAAAAAAAAGAATTGTCTTTGGGCCAGGGATTTAGCTCAGTGGTTTCGCTGCCTGCTGAGCAAGCACAAGGACCCGAGTTCAATTCCCGGTATCAAAAAATAAAATCTTCCAACCTCTGCACTGAGTTGATAACAAACTTACAGGGGACTTGAGGAGCAGTTTTGTGAGTGGACTTTAGCAGCTTGGTTCTAGACAGATTAAATTCCACGTGCCTGTTAAGAACTTTTAATAATGCAGTTGGATGTTCAAGTCTGGAGCTCAGGAGAGAATCTAAGGTAGTGCTGTAAATTTAAGTGTGTAAAGCCTTGAGCCTGGATAATATCACCAAAGAATTACAGAAAAGGTAACTGGGGCATTAGAGGTTAAGCAGACCTCCAAGGAGGAAGCATCATCAAGACAGAAGCAGCAGGGCTGGGGATTTAGCCCAGTGGTTCCGTCGCCTACCTCGCAAGCACAAGGACCCGAGTTCGATCCCCGGTACAAAAAAAAAAAAAAAGACAAGCAGCAGTGAGGAAGGCACACCACAACAGGATCTGGACCTGGGTGGGTTGGGTCATAGCAGCTGCTTACCACATGGAGCTACTCACTAAAATTTTCAGTTCAGTTCCTCAGTCACAGTGGCCACATTTCAGGAGCCCTGCCCATTCCGCTGGCACAGGTAAAGAACATTTCCACCATCACTGGAGTTCTGCTGAACGGTGCTGGTCCAGAAGTCAACTGGAGAAAGTCTCCGAGAACACAAAGTGTCAAAAACTGCTAACGATTTGAGAACCAAGATTTGACCACTAGTTTAGTGTAACAGGACAGCAGTTGTTGTAGGAGGGAGGTAAAAGCTTGATTAGGAAGGTATGGACAAACTGGAGAGGACTGGAATCAGAAAACAGCCCTAAAGATCTGCAGTCAGAATGGCTCTGGTGTGCAAACCTCGATAAAGCTGTTCCAAAGCACAACTCTCATGACCAACAGCTGAATTCTCAGTAAACATTACAGAAAAACTGACTCAACCTTCATAGAATCATTCAGAAGGCCTTTAAAACCCTACTGGCTAGGGCCCACCCCTAAAGACTGATATAATAGGCTGGGAAGGGATTTTTTTTAGTATTGTTTGAATGAGGAGTTTTGCTTGGTTTTTACTTCCTTGGGTAATCCTAATGTACAGCCATAATTCAAGACCCATGCAATGGGGCTGGAGGTATAGCTCAGTGGTAGCCCTCAGGATGACCTGGATTCAATTCCTAGCACTGCAGAAAACAAAGATGTGGAATGTAGCTCAGTGGTACTGTGCCTGCCTGGCAAGCACAAGATCCCGAGTTCGATCCCCAGTACCAGAAAAAAAAAAAAAAGATCCACTCAACTGCCTTTGACCAAAACAAATACTAATAACGCATGATGATTCCCAATCATGGGCCAAAATTATATGGAACTCTGTATGTTGGAGAATGTATAAACTGATAGGACATGTTTCATGCAAAAATGAGCCATGTGGTTGGGTAAGTTGGTGCACACTTAAAATCCTAACACTCTTGAGAGGCTGAGACAGGAAGGTCAAGTTTGAGCCCAGCCTAGGCAACTTATCAAAACTATCAGAATTTTAAAAGGACTGGGGATGTAGCTCAATAAGAAGGCCCTGGGTTCAGTTTTCATAACCAGAGGTTAAAAAAGAGCCACACAGCATTACGGTAAGATCCTGTGTCTACTGTTTTGGTTTTTTTTCTGCCCCACCCCCGGTACTGAACTCAGGACCTTGCACTTACAAGGTAGGCACAGTGCCACTGAGATGAATCCCCGGCCCTGTTGTTTTACAGATGGAGAATGTTAAATCCAGCATTCCATCGAGGAAATCAGCACTGGTGTTATGGTTTGGATCAAAAGTGTCCCCCAAAGGCCTCATGCACACATAAGTGGGGCTTTTGGAAGGTGACTGGGTCATGGAGGTAATCTAGCTGATTTGGGGTTAGGTGAGGTCTGGGGGCCAGGGATTTAACTCTGGTTCCACCACCTGCCTCAAAAGAATAAGGTCCCGAGTTTGAACCCCGGTACCAAAAAAAAAGAGAAGGTGAGGTCTGCTTGGAAGACTCAGGTCACTGGTGGTGTGACCTAAAGGGTGTATCTCCCTTCTGGGCTACCCCCTTGCTCTCTGCTTCCTGGCCTCCATGATGTGAGCAGGTTTCCTCTGCTGGGGCCCTTTCTTCCTTGAACATGGAGTGAAAATGTCAGACAAAATGTACTTCTTTTTGAGTAGGGCTGGGGATTTAGCTCAGTGGTGCCACTGCCTGCCTCGCAAGCACAAGGTCCTGAGTTTGATCCCCGGTATAAATAAATAAATAGTGAGTGTTGAGTATTTTGTCCCAGTAACAAGAAGGTAACTAAGACAACTAGATAATCTTAATTTAAAAAGTCTTATTACTGGGCTGGGGATTTAGCTCAGTGGTTCCCCCACCTGCCTCGAAAGCAGAAGGACCCGAGTTCGATCCCCAGTACCAAAAAAAAAAAAAGTATTACTGATGAACAAATACACTGATTTGACTATTTTATGGATGTTACTCTCATGTGAGTACTTTCTCTCATATTTCCATTTCCCTAAAGAAAAGCTTTTTGTTCATTGTAAAGGTTTTGAAATAGAATCAAGTTTCTAAACTTTAGGAAACCATGGGCTGGGGATTTAGCTCAGTGGTGCCATGCCTGCCTTGCAAGGGCAAGGTCCTGAGTTTGATCCCCAGTACCAGAATAAACAAAAACTTTAGGAAATCACATTTTTACTTTAAAACCAGAAAAAAAAGTATCTGACATGTTTCAGTGAAAAACAACAGGATTATTTCCAGTGTAGTTGGAAGTAAAATGACTTAAGTCACAGTGGGAGACAGCCCTATTTTTCTCACATAGGAAAGCAAATACTTATAAATTATGGATCCTAGAATGCTTGTCCCTTCCCTAAAATCCCTGAAGCACTTACATATTTGCCATTCATCTCACTGCATAATCTTGTATTCACTGCTTTTCATGCTGCAATGTGAATATGAAATAATCTGCTATTATACTGTTTCTTATCTATCGATTTCACTCTTCCTCAGTTATCTTACCTTTTTTACCCTACCAAAAGAATGCTTTGAGCTACTAAACGCCATAAAAAATGAGGCATATCCACATCTTGGATAAATAATTCCTAAGTAATCAAAAAGCAGATTAACTCTGTAACCTGAAAATTGTAATTATATTTATAAATACATTAGTCCTTCATAATAGTTCTGTGAACAGGGCAATATGATCATCAGAGATGGACTAAACATTTACTTACCAAATCTCAAAATTCAAGAATTACAAGTATAAAAGAGATCAGTCTACTTCACTGAAAAATTACAAGTGGCAAATTCACAAACTTTGTAGTACATCCAGCACTCATAAGACAAAAAGTGACTGAAATGATTTCCTTAAAGCATTTCCAAACTACCACTGCTGCAAGACTAATAAAACAGGAAAGTACTCCATGACTTTCCTTAATTTATCCTTTTTTAAATTTTTTTTTTAGATAAGGTCTCACTATGTAGTTCAGGCTGGCCTCGAATTCCTGGTGATCCTCATGCCTCAGCCTTTGGAACACTACCACACCCAGAAAATTTATCTTTTTTTGAGAAGATACATAATAAAATGTCAAAACTTCTGTGACCATGGAGGACAGCTTAATTCCCATTTGCTTCAGAATTCCTCTTCTGTAAAATGGCAGTAGTACCAGTATAATACAGTACCTGTTTATAGGACTACAGTGAAGCAAAAAACAACACTCAAGGGGCCAGGGATGTAGCTCAGTGGCACCGCGCCTGCCTTGCAAGCTCAAGGTCCTGAGTTGATTCGTGGTACCGAAAACACCAAACACTCAAAAAACAATGCCAGTGGTGTGCCTACTGAGTACTCAAACAATGCAAGTGGTTTTGGTTGTCTGACCCTTACAGAAACAGGCATTTCAAACTGCTGCTTATTTGGAAAACTGAGTGTACTATATTAGAAGATTCAGTAACTAGAACTATCACTGTGATAAGGGAGGTTCTGTTTTTGAATTACAAAGGTAGCCGTTTTATCTTTTCATAAAAGTCTGTTGTGGAATGCTTAGCCTTCCTTTCTGGTCAAATGTAACAAAGTGAGGTTGCTAACTTTCAGGTTTCCAGAAGCTGTCAAACTGAGGGAAATTTTTCTAATATTGCCATTTCCACTCTTTGGCATGACTAGGGAAGACAGTACCCAGTGCTTAAACACTTGTCATCTGTGAAAAGCACTATAGTACATGGTAAGGAACACAAGCATCAGAATGCCTGTTATAACCCTGACTCTCTTACTTAGCTGTGTGACCTTTGACAGGTTAATTGCTTCCTCAGTCATCTATAAAATCTGGGTAATAATTGCCATGTCAGGGCTACTGCAGTACAAGAATTCATATAAGGCTCTTAAAATAGGCTGAACAGGGCCAGGGATTTTGCTCAGTGGTTCCGCCGTCTGCCTCACAAGCGCAAGGTCCTGAGTTCGATCCCTGGTACCAAAAAAAAGTAGGCTGAACAGAGTTAAGCACCAAAAAATGTTGTCACCATTACTTAAAATGTATTTTAAGGGGCTGGAGATTTACCTCAGTGGTGATAGCGCCTGCCTGGCAAGTATAAGGTCCTGAATTTGATCCCCAGTTCCGGAAAAAAAAAAAAAAAATTTTAATGTATTTTAAAATATTGCCCAGTATTAACATAACTGTATAAAAATATATCCTGATCTCAGAAAAGAAAAAAAACTATTTCCATTTTTTTAGCTATTTGTATTGGTACGACACAGTATTATAAATGCAAAGGAGGAAGTACAAGGTTCACATCTTCATGCAATTGCCTGAAGACCTGACCTTGGGCCGGAAAAGAAAATCAGGATGATGACATGATGGTGGCTTTTAGGAGGATGGCATGCTGTGAAGGACTGGACTAAATTACCTGTGACATTTTCACTGACCATCTTGTTCCCATTTTCTGTGTATAAGTTATTTTTAGACTTTCAAACATTTAGTTTCTGCCCACATAGCTTTTTATAACTGGCAACATTAATAATGATTAATCTAGCCATCACCCAGAGAAAGAACAAATTCTGCTTATCAGACAGCCATCATGGCTAGGGGTGTAGCTCAGTGGTAATGTGCTTGGCATATGCAGGGCCCTAGGTTCAAACCCCAGCACCAGGAAATAAACACAGTAATCACCTCAATAATTTATACCAACTCCTCATAACCTGAAAGCAAGCAAACATAAACATTCGACTTAGCTATGACAGGATGAACTGGTCTTTTAGTTTGAAAGATTTTAGAGCCAGTCAAGTAATTGTATAAAATTTAAACTTTATGACCATGTTTGCACCTTTTTACACTTAACACAATGGAAATGTTCATATTCACTTTTTCCCCAAAGGAAAAACTTCTGATCACTATGTTGCACAGTAGAATAGAAATATGAGTTCAGGTACTTACTCAAGTTTCTAAACAATGCAAGTAACAAGACACAATTTTACTTCCAAAATCTGAAGTCATCAACACGATTCTGTAGTACTGTATCTCAGGCTTTACCTTAAAAGTCCTTAGTCAAATAAAGATAGTTCCCTAGCCATTTCTTAAAAAGCCTCAGCCCTACCACAACTTCCTGAGATCTGTGAAGAAACTGCAGTTGTGTGATCTCACTCCATATAGTTCTGGCAGTTTTATAATCATAAGGAAAACCAGTGACTGATTTATGTGTCAATCAACTGCAGTCTGCTGATCTGATTAGAAGCCTTCACAAATGCTTGGTGGCGATTACAAATAACTGCCAAGCATATGGGGATGATACAGTAGCCCACCGTTTTGGGATCAGCTCTTGTACAAGAATAAAGAAACAAAAACATTTGTAAATAAGGTATTAGAAAAATAATCGTCCACAACCAAAAAGGCAGAGAGAATAACCGAACTTTCAAGGAGTGTGTCCATGTGGTCCCCTCACCAGGCTCCTCTGGGTGCTGCTGGATGTGTTCCAAAGCCAGCCTGTTGTAAGTCTCATTGATTTCAAAAACATAGTAGAATGCTGCTGCACTTGCTAATAGATACAATCCCACTCCAATCCATCCCATCCGCTGGCGGAAGTTCATCATTCTCCATGCTCTGTGCCTTAAATAAAAAGGTAATACAGTTAGGGTCTAGTAATGCTATTGTGGCAACTCTTCCAAATGTACTTGGTTTGCAGGGGGCACACGTCTGTAATCCCAACACTCTGGGAAGCTGAGGCAGAAGGAGCTCTGCGAGTTCCAGGCTAGCCTGGGTTACAAAGTAAGTTCAAAGCCAGCCTGCACTACTTAGCGAGACCCTGTCTTTAAAAAAGAAACAGGGCCTGGGATTTAGTTCAGTGGTTTCGGCACCTGCCTCAAAAGCGCAAGGTCCCGAGTTCCATCCCCGGTAACAACAAAAAAAAGAAAACCAAATGTACTTGGTTTAGTTCCAAGAGTTCTAAAATATCCCACTAACACATTCAAGATTTAAAATGATTAAATTACATTTGCCTTAAATGCCAACAACTTACAGGTGGTTGTTTTATGTAAGTTATGAGCAAGTACAAAACGTTTCAGTATATTGAGTTCTGCTTCTCATGTGAACCCCACAAAACGAATCATTACATTATAATGTACCTTATGCTTAAATAAGTCCAGTACATCTTCCCTTCAGAAACCGAAATTAAAATATCCTATAGGACATTTCACTTAAGACAGCTTTCTGCCTTAACAGTATTGCTTCAGACATGAATACTGGGTTCTACTAGTTAAACCAACGTCGGAGGCCCCAAGACAGCAACTCTTAAACACTTACAGTGGTCCCGAAAATCTTCCTGTTCCCACGGCAAGCGTTAAAGAGTCACTCAGTTCTGAGTAATCGGGTGCCTTTGGCATTTCAAAGCAAGCCACCATAAAAGAAATCCCCTGGGTCACCCGGCTCGGAGAGACATGAGCACCGCCAGGCTGGAGCACAAGCTAACTGTGATTAAGTACAGCGTGACTTGGGACGGTCACGCGGCGGCCCGGCGCCTGTCGCCACTGCCGGAGCCGTCTGGGTCACCCGGCTCGCCAGAAGGCTCTGGGGCCTCCCGGGCAGCGGCCCCGCCCCCTGCCGAGCCGCAGCGTCCGCGTGCCAGGCGCGACCAGGGCTGTGCAGACTGCGCCAGGCCTTGGCCTCGGCGTCCTGCAGCAGAGCAAGCCCGGCAGTCGACGGGGACAGCCTGACGACACCGCCTGCAAAGCTGAGCGGGTCCCAGGTCTCACCTTCCTGTCCGAGTGGCCCGCCCGCCCGCCGTCCCGGATGCCGCTGCAGCAGGGGCTTCCGGCTCGGGCCGGAAGCGTACGCCCCGGTCCCCAGGCCCGCCCTCGTGACGTCACGAGGCCCCGCCCTCAGCGCGTCCTCCCTGGTGCGCCCGGGGTTCGCAACTGGGGATTGTGGTGCGACCGAGGTCGCGGCACCCAGCTGCGCGTAGTGCTTTCCGCGATCCGCGAGGTGCACCTGTGCTTCGCTTGCGACTCTGACCGCCGAGTCACTCCTGGCCCCGGAGAACACTGCAGGGACGAGGCGGCCCGGCCTCCACTTCGGCGAGCGAGCCGCCCGCCCTCCCGCGCCTGTTAAGTGCCGGCCTGGCTCCGGGGCCGTCGGCGGACAACGCGGGCTCCGCCGCGGAGAGCGGTGAGGGGCGGCCGGCGGTCAGCGCCGCCGGTGGCAGCCGGGAGAGTGCTGCCTGTCCCAGGGCGTGACGGCCGGGGGTCGCCGCGGGGCGCGGCGTCCTGCACCTGCACCCTGGATGTGGACCTTTAACGGACGTGGCTGCCCTTTCCTCGGGCTTCTGCACCTCGGCACGTTTACGAGCCCTGTGTGGGGTAGTGCACAGGATTACTATGAAGTCCCGGGGACATCTGCGTACCCGACGAATTCCATCTTAAGTCTTCTAGGCACCAAGACGCTGCAGCTCTTAGAAGACTGTTTCAGGAGGATGGATACGAACTCTCGGAAAGCGTTATTGATTGCCAGTGTCCCCGAGACCTACAGGGTGACAAATTGTGCAGGCCCTGCTGGCTGGTCAGGCCCCGCTGGCTGGTCAGGCCCCGCTGGCTGGTCAGGCCCCCTTGGGGGAGTACAAGATGTTCAGGAGGGAAGAAGAGAGGAACGTAGCCTTAATAGGGCTCACTGAGGGCACTAGTCATGCTCTGGTCCCCAAGGAGATAGCTGGAAATGGGGGTTTCTGGAGAGTAATCTTCAAGCCACCGACGCCGAAAATGAATTTTTAAACAGATTAAATGAGTTTTTAGAGGAAGAGGCCCTGACAGTGAGTGAGCTGACCAGAGCTCTTGGGTGTGGAAATGACCTTAATGACCTAAACCAGGACATGATCCCTGAAATACAGGCCCCATTGTTGGCACAGGCATTAGATGAGGCCCTTCACACTGCCCTGCAATCCATGAAGTATAAATAGCTAAGAGTTATTCCCAGGCAGAGATCCTCCAGAACCAGGTAAAGAAGAATTTGAACCTTTCTGATGATGAAGACCTGAAAGGTGTCAGATGCAGAGAAAAGAAAGCAATTGATAGCTTCAGAGCCCAGCATTTGATAGTTTTTGCATTCTCGAGACAAATAATCATTTAATTAGTCTGCGAATGCCTGCAGGCTCTAGAGACAGTATTTGGGATTGATAATCCTAGAGAGTTGCAGGAGAAATAGCTATACTCTTATCAGAAAGATGAGGAAAAGTTGTCCACTTACATACTAAGGCTGGAGCCTTCATTACAGAAACGTACAGAGAGGAGCAGTTGAGAACGATGTGAATCAGGCCGCCCTAGACCAAATCATCAGTCATTGCTGGGGCAGTCAACAGAACAGTTCTTAACCTGCCAGAGCGTGGCCCAACCCCTGGCTTATTGCAATTATTGTCACTGATGAAGGATAAGGAGGCAACTGAGAAGGAGGAGGCCCTTCTCCAGGCAGAAGGCTTATTTCACCTGATTCTCAGGACACCAGCAAGGAATGCTGCGATGGGCAGAGCATGAAGGTAGATCAGTCCTGTAATAGATGTTAACCAGTCCCTACCTTGTGCTGCCAAGGAAGTCTGTGCAGCTTTGTCTCTGTCATTTCTGAGCATATTGAATGGCTTCCAAATGTGTCATTGACTAGGAAGACATAGTTATACTAATTTTATTTAGTTCTCCCTAGTGAATTTTTTATTATACATACTTGTACAAAAGGTCTATCACTGCATATGTGCAATACCCTGAGAGGACAGCCAAGACTCAGCTGCAAACATGGCCCAAACCTCATGGAAATGTCAGCTTGTTTAGTATCAGGTATCCCCTGTCAGTGTCACATGTGATGTGTGTCATCAGTAGTTTTTTTTTTTTGGTGCTGGGGATTGAACTCAGGTCCTCTCGCTTGCAAGGTAGGCCCCGGAACCACTGAGCTAAATCCCTGGCCCATCAGTAGTTTTTAACTGTGTCTTGCTTTTCAGATAAAGATCATTTGTTGTAGTTGGAATATTGTTATTTTCTGTGTGAATCAGAATTATTAATTCTGTGCTGGGCCAGAATTCAGTTCTCTAACTGGAAAGCCTATATTTCCACTGCCATGAAAGGGAAGCAGTCCTCAGAGTACTCAAGGCAGAATTGAATGCTGAGGCTCATAATTCTGCAATGGCCATCTTTAGATTTCTAATATGTGTTACCAAAGCATCTTTTTCATGGTTATATCATTATCATGGTTATAGAATTGTAGATGTGAGGGGCTGGGAATGTAGCCCAGTGGTGCCTGCCAAATACAAGGTCCTGAGTTTGATTCCTGGTACTGAAAATAAAATTATAGGTGTGCATATATAAAATAAAGGAACACTAATAAATGTCTTTTTTAAAATTTGAATTCCAAAAGAGATTTCACTTGAACTAAGTTTTTCTAAAGTGTGAATCTAAAAATCACTGAAGTTACACAGACTCAGTTCTTTGGGCTTTTTTTTTCTTGCTGCTCAAGGGAAAACAAGTCCTTTTCTAAGTGAGATTGCCTCAGAGAGCTACTGGAGCAATTAAACAAGACCGTACATAAATTAGGACAAATAGTATGTCCAGGCACATCAATGGATTGAATTTGGAAAGATGGGACTAAAAGTTTCACCATACACTTTCTCATGTAATCCTCCTGAAAACCAGGCAGTATAGGGAAAATCAGTTTCATATTTGTAGAAATGGTTACAGAGAGGTTAAGAAAAACTTGCCCAAGGTGAAACTACATAGTAAATGGCTAGAATTCAATTCTCTGTCTTACTGCAAAGCCTATTTTCTTTCCACTACTAAGAAAGGGAAGCAGTCCTCAGATTGTCTACCCAACAGCCCCACAAGAGGAGCAGTGTCTTAGTTACTTTCCTCTCCTTCCTGAGACAAAATACCCGACACCCAAAGTTAAAGGAGGAAAGGTTTATTTAGCTCACAGTTTATAGAGGTTTCAGTCCATAATCAGCTGGCTCCAAGACGGGGTAGCTTGGCAGAGGGACATCATGGCAGGCAGAAGACAACAAAAGCAACCAGGGACCTTAATAGCATCTGTCTGTCCCTTTCATCTTTATCCAGGCTACTTAGGGCGGTAGCACTCACACCCTTAATCCTAGTGCCCTTGAACCTAGCACTGCACCATGAATCGATTCCCGTGTCACAACTCTAGATCCAGCCACCTCTGAAAAAGCCCCAGATGGGCCGGGGGTTTAGCTCAGTGGTTCCGGCCCCTGCCTCACAAGCGCAAGGTCCCGAGTTCAATCCCCAGTACCAAAAAAAACAAAGAAAAAGCCCCAGCTATGACCACATGAGGCTTTGGGGGGACATCTAGACACAAGCCATAACAAGCAGGGTAGGTGCCAGCCACATTTCACACACATACATCTTGGATGCTCACACACATACATCTTCGATGCATTCATTACTCTGAAAGATAGATCCTAAGTTTCTATAAATCTCCCACTACAGGGCCAGGGATTTAGCTCAGTGGTTTCACCACCTGCTGCACAAGCGCAAGGACCCAAGTTTGATCCCCCGGTACCAAAAAAAAAATTCCTACTACAAAACACTAAATACCAGACAGCAGTTAAACTCTAAACTAAAAAGTGTGACTCTGAGATTTACATTTGTATGGTGATTTAGACACATCAGGGGCTGTCACACAGGTCACTTGTTTGCCACCTCAGTCAAGGGAACCTTAGCTACATGTTGCTAAACATCGTGAGAGTGTATATACATAGGTGCTAATAAATGCTGCCTCTTCTTATCTGAGGCACTGAGCAGAGGGTTTAAGAGAGTAGAATTAAGTTTACAGTATAATCTCAGCTCTGGAGGTTACTTGTGGTCCGAAATAATAGCTGACATTGAACACTTGCCCTTGGCCAGGCACTGAGCACCACTGAGCACATTGGGCCTGCAACTAGCTAAGTTCAGTTTATCTCCATTTTACAGATGAGATTGAAGCACAGAGTGGTAACTTGCCCAGGGTTTCAGTAAGTGGCAGGGCCAGGATTTACACTCAGCTATTTCTTAATCTATTCTTGATCTTAATCTGTGGTTAAATCCTCACAGAAACCTGTCATAAAACATATTATGTCCCCCACTGTTATGAATGAGAAGCCTGAAGTTTAGAGGGATTCAATACCAGGGACAAGGGCACAAAGTCTGATTCCAAAGAGCTTTTCTTGAAGTACTCTCACATGCATCTGGTTAATACTACAGAACTGTAAGAAACAAAAGGGGCTGGGCAGGGCTGGGGATCAAACCCAGGCAGGCCCTTGCACATGCTAAGCAAGTACTCTACCACTATGCTACACCCCTTGCCCCTTAAAAAAAATGATCCGGGGGCTGGGGATTTAGCTCAGTGGTTTCGGCGCCTGCCTTGCAAGTGCAAGGTCCTGAGTTCAATCCCCGGTACCGAAAAAGAAAATTTTTCCAGGTACAGAGGATTAAACCCGGCTCCTTCAGGGCCGGGGATTTAGCTCAGTGGTTTCGTCACCTGCTGCACAAGCGCAAGGACCCAAGTTCGATTCTCAGTACCAAAAAAACCAAAACAAAACCCAGCTCCTTCACACAGAACTATATCCCACCCCCTTTTTAAAATTTTGAAACAGGATGTCACCAAGTTCCCAAGGCAGGATTCAAACTAGTGACACTCCTACCTCAGCTTCCTAAAGTACTGGGATTACAGGCATGCACCATCACACCCAGTTTTTTAAAAATTTTGTATTTATATTCATATAGTT